TTCTGTGATGCACATTGTTGCGCCAGCTCGGTGAGAAAACACAGTGCATCTCCCGAGAGAGCTCAGGCAGGAGATGTGGCTCATAAAAAAGAAAAGGTGCTAAAGCATCCAAGCAGCAACTCCCGGGGTCACTGGCAAAGCAAATGTAAACGCTCGTGGTGAGTTCATCCGAAAGAAAATTGTTTTCTCAAACCAAACAGAGATGAAACATTCCTCTTTGTGCATGCCTACCCCAAACTAAAATGCTGCATTGTATTTTCCAAGTGGAAAATTGAAACCTAGAGAGAGCTTCTCCAAATTTATGAGCAGAAAATATGATTTTAGTGGAAAGGGTTTTTGCATTGCATTTTTTATTGAAACTATATCTTAACAAGAAATTTCCTTTGCTCTGTAATCAGAATGTATTCTTTCATACCTACAATCTAGTATGTAGGTATTTTTAACATCAAATTATTGTGTTTATAGTCAGCTTTAATTCATTATTTACTCAAGTAAAATATTAAGGATTGCATTTTCATAGCTGATTAAACCAGTAGTTGTGGGAAGCAAAGCGCCATTAACTGAAGCAGTGTTTTAAAAGGTTATGATAAGAAAACCTCTAATCATGAAGGAATACCTTAAGATTAGAAAATGACTAAAAATATGCTTTCCTTTCTTGAACCTATCACACAGTGACTGGTTGCATTTTTTATTTATAGAAATATTAGTCACTGATTCATTAATATGAATTTTATTTGATTCTACGTGGATTGCGTGGTTTTCTTTCCAGCCATGGGCGGGAGTTGTTTGACTGCTGGCTTCTCAATCCAAGCAAAACCAGTGGAGCTGCCCAGAGAAGTGTATTGGCAGTAATATCTGCTACAACATTTCAAGCCTAGAGGACCTGAAAACTGAGTATATTGCCCATACCCTTCAAAGAGTTCAAAATATTCTGTAGACAGAAAATAGGGATGGGAAGTAATTATGAAGAAAGTGAATTAACATTAATCTTTCTACTCTGTCTGTAAATCAGAAGAGATTATTGCAATTTTCTTAACAGATTCGGAGGGATTTTAAGAAGCGAAGAGTGAACAGGATTTCAGATAAGGAGTTGGCTTCATAAATAGAAAATTTTCTCTTGAGGAAAAAAAGATTTGATATCACAAAGGATCATTTTTTATCAGTTTGGAGAAGTCATGCTATGCTGCGGCATATCGCGCTTGTACTGTAGTTGGTTCGTGTCTGCCCCAACTCACGCAGCCCTCAATAATTAACTGGACCGAACACTGGAGGAAGCAGAGGAAATGATTTTGCCTTGTCTGTGTTTCTCCATCTCTTCTGCAATTCTTTGTGTTGCGTGCATAGGCACCGTATCCTCACAGGCAAGCAGTTGTAATGAAACTGTTTTGTTTTAAGGTGACGTTCCTGTTGTCCCGTAAATAAGTTCAAAACCTCTCCTCTGTGAAGAAGTATAGCAGAGCAACAGGAGAGGAGAAGCTGTCACATATGTCCATGTGCAGTTGCTGTGGGAACTTGTAGAAAGAGAGAGTCAGATAAATTTAATTGGACAAGCAGGCAACACATTCCCTCCAGTTGCTGCCGCTTTGGCTCTGAAAACCCTAAACACTGTCCCCAGGGGGACCAACCTGCTCGGTCGCTTTACTTCCATTTCCTACAGCAGACTTTATGCACACTGGCACTTGCTCCTGATGTTCTCGACTGGTTTGGATATGATAATGAGCTTGCAGGCAAGCTTCACCTTTTCCTGATTGTGTTTTTACTGCGCTTCATGTATTTTTCTGATTTATTTTTTTTTTTTTTTGGACGTGTCTTTTTATGTAGAAAGAAGAAAGGACGAATTCATTACTTCTGAACCTCCTGCTCTTTGAGTTGTTAGTAACCAAAGCCGGTGGGTGGCTGTGTGTTGTAGTGTTTTGGCAGACACCTTCGTTACTTGTGTCAGTGTTAAGGATGCATCTCATTTCTAAATACTGAGAAATGCGAGTCTGTAATGTCAGTGTCTGTTTTAAGGAAAGGATTTTAGCAAAATAAACTTAGTTAATATGTGCATTACTTGGTTTCTCCAGGTTCTCAGTGGTGTATGTACCTGGCAGCACCTTTCAGTTAGCCATGAGTGAAGTACAGTGGAAGCTTTAGCACCTCAGAGATAATTTAAGGGCTGATTTATGTACTTGGCATAACTGAAACACGACCGAAAAATCCCTTCTGAAGTCTTGTGTCAGAGCTAGCAGGTTCTGCGCATCTCCTCTGCACTGTGTGATGAGTACCAGCCCTGCATCCTCAACCTTCCTCCTCACCACATCCAGTCTGATCTAGGAGATTTTCTTTATATCTTGGCTTTGATGGGCTCAGAGCAGGCACTGGTGGAGAGGCTGTGTCCATGAAAGGTATTTGGGGTTTTTTTTGTGTGTTTTTCTCAGGAGAGTCTCTGCAGGGAGGCTGGGGCTTTGCGTCCCATCCCTACATGGTGCCTGTCCCATGGAAATGGAGCACAGGATGGTGCACAGGGAGTAGGCGGTTGTGCTCTTCTCTGTGCTCTTGCTTTGTAGATAAATTGAAGGCTTCAGTCAGCATAAGGGCGGTTTCCCAACTCTAACTCCTTAATACAAGTTAGCACTTCAGTGTTGACAGCTGACTCTGGCTGTTTAAAGCACAAAACAGGAGCCGATCCCTGCCCCGAGGACTTTCATTATGAAGTGAAAAATGTCCCCTAGAGAACAAACCCCTTTGGTGGCCTGCACTGAGGCAGCACTTGGGGAGCTCAGACAGGCACATACACATCCCTAAGCCATCTTGTTTCCCTAAGCCATCTTGTTTCCCTAAGCCTATGTGCTAAAGAGGAGGACCATTTTCATAGCCCAGTTTGGTTTAGCAGAGCTAGATCTGGAGCGCTGCAGAGCCAGGCAACCCGCCCATCCCGGAGAATGCGCAGGACATCCCGGGATGCCCATCCCAGGCAGCGCCATCTCTCTCTGCCCATCTCTGCTGACCATGGAGAGCTGCAAACGCAGAGCTTGTGGCTTCTTGTGGGAAATCCTTGTACAGGGCGGCAGGTCTGGGCAGTCAGAGGCTTCGCATGAGACTCATTAATTTCTTCTAAACCCAAGTAAATCTGCTGATGAGTGATAGCATTTCAATCTTGCATAATGTTGAATAAAAAGAAATGGCAAGTTATTGCCTGCTATGATGATGCTGTTCATCCTCGTGCCAGGGGTCACTAGGACAGCTTGGGGGGTGCTCTCCCCCAACAAGGAGCCTGCTCTCCCTTTGATGTGGGATTTTTGGTGAGTGAGGCTCTAAGCTATGTCCCTAGTACCTTCTGATATCATTTACCTTTAGAACTGTGATTTTTGTCACCCGTTCTTCTGCTGTGGTGTAAAGGGGGCACTCAGCTGCTGGAAAATTCATCCAGAATGTGCCTCTTGGGAACAGGAGATGTAGATTTTTAGTTTTGGTGATTAGCTCTGCTCACTCTGATTTCTGGATTAAATCGGATTCCTTCACAGCTGCCTGAGTACCCTCATCCCACCTGCAGCGAGCGTTTAAGTAGGTTTTTACCTCTTTAGCAGAACCAGGCAGCAGCACCCTCTGTAAAGAACTGATCCCCCAGCAGAGCTCAGAGATGCAAAACCTTCCCGACAGCTCCCGCTGTGCTCCGTGGGCCCGGCTGAACGCTGCCTGCCCCCAGGTCTGCACACAACGACAGACCCTGACGGTCCGAATCAGCACATACACACGTAAAAGCTGCTTTTTTCTATTGTCAGGGAGCCCAGAAAGTACGTCAGGAAAATGTGTCTGCCTCCCTGGTGGGATGTCCGTTAAGTGCTGGAGGTGGGTGAGCTCCCCGCGGCCCCTCCGGCTGTGGAGGTCAGACTAATGTGTGGCAAATGGAGAAGTCTGAGCAGGCTGGTGGAAGGAAAATGATTTTCCTCTCTTTGTTAGAAGTTTCATTAAGGAAGAAAATGGGTGCTGATCCTCCACCAGGCTAAATCCGGAACTTCACCCTGGAAGCCAGTGGGTTTACTTTGATTTTATGTGAAAGCAGAATTTGACTTGTAATCTTTAGGAGGAAAGACAAAAAGTCTTCCCTTCCTGCACTGGCTAGGTAGGTGACCCATTCGCATGTGGTAGCCAGAAACCAAGTGCTGTGCTGAAAAATCAAAGCATTGAGGCAATACCAATGGAGGTATCCTCAGCTTAAACATGACGGAGACAGAAAAGAGCAGGTCTCCCCAAGGTGCTCTCAGTACACCTGCGTCTATGTGTAACTCTCCCAGTTCCTAGGGTCTTTTCATGGTACACAGAACAGTTTTCCTTTCTTACTTGTACTTTTCCAGACTCTGATGATGCTTGGGCTGGGTGGTCCGTCCTCACCTCAGAAGGATGCCGTGGGTATAGAGGAATGGCTCTCCGGTGCCGTTAGCCAACGGGGCAGTGCAGCCTGGAAAGTGACCCCTCTGGCTGCTGTAAGAGGAAGGGGTTGATGGCAGGGAGCTCAGGCTTGGATCCTCAGGGACAGTTTTCATTTCCCCTCGCTCCTCCTGCCAATCTAACTTCTCTTGCTCACCGCTGATTTGCTCATCCAGACATTTCCATGTGGAGAGAAAGGTGCTGTTAATTGTCGGGAAGCCTTGTAGGCTGTTTAAAAGCTCTGGCTGTGCTATAGGATTTTTGTGTGCAAAGACTTTAACCCTTCAGACTATACCTGAGGCTTCCTAGGAGGATGGCCATGTTTTAGAAATCAAGATAACTCCTTTCTGGAGGGCCTGATTCATAGTGCCTAACACCTGCGGGGCAAACTAACACTGATGATCCTGCTGGCTTTCCCTGCTCACGTTCTCCGCCAGCCATTCTCTCTCCATTCCTATAATTTCTTTGGCTCAACCCTCTAATCCCCCATCTCAACTGAAAATTTCCTCTTTTTTTTTTTTGTTTTGGTTACTTTTTAGGGAATTGGTGCAAAGTTGGGTACTAACTTTTCCCCTTCCTCCCCTCCTTAGCAAGCAGCAGAACTCCTCCAAATCCAAGTCTGTTTGGGAGCAGAGGACCACCCAGATTCGGATGCACAATTTCCGAGCCAGCTGCGAGGCGTTGTACAACGAGCTGGATCCAGAGGAGCGGGTGCGTTACGCTACCACCCTTCACATCAGGCCAGACATGAAGACTCATTTGGATCGGCCGCTGGTGGTAGAGCCAAGGAGTGAAGGGAGGAACAACATCAGCAAGCTGAGCCCCGTGGATGTGCAGGAGGTGGAGCAGACCAAAGTCAGCTCTACTGATGGGGCAGAAGCTCCACGAAAACACCACCGACATCGGGATAAGGAAAAACTGGGAGAGCAAGAGAAGGGTGATGTGACCAAGGATGAGAATGGGGAATCCGGAGCCAACAATAAGGAGGAGCGGCACAGGCAGCACAGGAGCCGCAGTAAGGAGGTGGAAGGAGGGAGTAAGGAAGGGAAAAGTGATCGCAACAGGAGTCAGGAAGGGGGAAAGAGGCATCATCGCCGAGGGTCGGTGGAAGAAGGCGCCGAGAAGGAGCACCGTAGGCATCGGACTCACCGGCACTCTGCCGAACGACAAGGCAAGGAAGGCAATGGGACAATCAACGGGGCCAGGAGTGAGCGGCGTTCCCGACACCGGGGAGGGTCGAGGTCTGGGAACCGGGAAGGAGAGCCCGGGTCCAAGGGTGAAAATGGAGAGGAGCCTCACAGACGGCACAGGTTCAGGAACAGGGCGCTGTCAACGTACGATTCGGTGGAGAAGGACAACGGGGAGAAAGAGGTGGAGGCTGGTGAGAAGGAGCACCGGAATCATCAGCCCAAGTAAGTGGGTGCTGTGTGGCCAGGCTCAGCCCCGGGACAGCTTGGGGGGGCACGAGACCCGAGGCATAATTTCAGGAAATTATTCCTCTCCCTATGGCATTCCCTGCTGTTCTTCTTGCACTCACATCAGCTATCACCATAACCTGAGTTCCATTTTGCTTAAATCAGTAAGGACAGAAGCTCAGACAGATGACTTTGACCCATGATATCCCACAGAATAGCTGAAGTTTAAGGAAGGAAATGTCCTTGATGTAAATACCAACGACCTCTGTAGGACATAATGTGGAGTAGAGAATTTCACAGCCTCTGAAGGGAGTTTCTGAGGGACATATTTTTAAATGGCATCCAGTCTTGCTTATAGCCCCTTGGTTTTCTTTTTTTCATGGTGAGCCTGTCAGCTGCACCACCAGTTGTTACAGCACGTGGCTTCTTCCATTAAGAACAATGATGTACCTCATTTGGTTTAATTCTTATGTAAGTCAAGTGAGAAAAATAGTACTCGTGGAGCATTTGGAGCAGTTAATAAAGAAGGATAGATTGCCTTTTCAGCTTTATTAGTCTGATGGAAGAGAAATTTCACTGGGATTCTTTAGAATAGAGTTCATGTCACCGTGGAGAGCTGTGAGTGGCACTGAGATAATAATTTTCCTGTCTATATTATCTTCCTTTCAGATGGATTTCAAAACACTTTGCATACTGTTTAGTTTGATCATGTGCACAAGCTCACTTTCCTCCTCACTGAAATATAGCCACTGCTGCAGAGGAATGCAGAAGCGATTTAGCCACTTAGAGCAAGACTGCAGAGTGGTTTAGGGCTGGAAAGAGAATCACCAAATTTAAATAAGGTGTCAGGAGAACATTAAGAAGCAGAATGTCAGACTTCATTCAGAAACCAGCTGATGCTGGAAAGCTGATGTCAATGTTACATGCAAGTGCTGTGTGGTCCTTGCTTATGAACCTCAGTTCTGAGTCTCATTAAATCAAATAAAGTGACGTTTGGTGGCACAGTGCGTCTTAATGTTGTGCTTGGATGTTGGTTCAGAAGGTCTCAGCGGAAAAGGTCACATGCTGTGCTATCAGTAAGTGTTCCTGTGTGACTTTTGTGCAAACGACTTTTGTGAAGAAAATAGTCTATGAAACCTTGCAAGAGGTGCAGCATCAGGGCACGTATGTTCTCTGAATCCTTCTTGGGCTATATTTAATAAAATTTGTTTTTCTACCTTAGAGAGAATCAGTGTGAGATTGAAGCTAGTGGAAGTGTGAGTGTCCCTGTGCATACCCTTCCCAGCACCTACCTACAGAAAGTGCCGGAGCAGCCAGAAGATGCTGACAACCAGAAGAACGTGACGCGGATGATTCAGCCACCTCTAGACAAAACCACCACTGTGAACATCCCTGTCACTATCACTGCCCCGCCGGGGGAAACCACTGTCATACCAAGTGAGTGCCTTTCTCCCCCTGCTTTTTGCTATGAAATCACCAAAAAAGAGCTAACTTTCCAAGGAGCCAGCAGCACATGCTGGGTCATGGGGGCTGTCTTGGCCACCAGTATCCTTGCAATAGGTGAACAGGAGAACTTGTTGTTGATATAGGCTCGAAAATTCTCAACCTGCAGGAAGCCAACATAGGTTCCTGGGTCACATGTTGGCTCTGGAAAACAACACGTAAGGTTCCTTGGAGATGACTCGTCCAGGGCACATCCATATATCTTTGCATAAGAGAAAAGTGAAGGAGCAAGAAAAACAGCAAAATGTAGTAACTGAGAGCTGTGCAGCAAAATAAGCAACTTCTGCAGCAAACCAGTCAAGACCTTGTTGTGAGCACAGGAGTAGGTCCTCTGCTTTATCACCTTCCTCTGCTGCCGTACTGCGAGCTCCTACTCCAACAGTGCCGTGCTATGGTTCCCCTGGTGTTCCAGGGGCCTGACTGGCCACAGACCCCTCAGCAAAGAACAGGGGAGGCAGTGACATTGCACTCAAGCCCACAGACTAAATTCACGTTTCTTGGCTTATTAGCTGAGCCCACTGTGGAGCAGGAGGTCTTTCATGGCTGCGTGGCTATCACAGCATCCATCGTGTGACCCTGCTTCTGTGGGTTCCTGCAGAATGTGTAATTTTCGAGCTTCTTGCAGTCTTGGTTTGGCAGATCCACCTTAACTTGTCCTTTTCCAGAGCTCTCTGCCTTGAGTCTATCAGCGTAGATTTACACTGGTTTGCAGCCAGTCCCAAGATCATTGTGCCCATGGTCTGCTCTGCAGCCACCCAGCCACCACCCTGGTCTGACCAGCTTGTGGCTCGTCCCTGGCCGTGTGGGCACAACCTAGAGAAGTCTGGAGAGCTGGGGGTGCCAAGGAGAGTTGCAGTGTGAAATCTAAGAGGTCCACATTAGATTGGGGGCTGTCAGGACTCTGCTTTCCAAGAGACACAGCCAAAAGCTAGCAGTTTCTTTATGGGCTTTTTCACTGTGTTGTCAGCCACACAAGACTTCCCCTCTTCCTTCCTTTCTTGTCTTCCTTCCTTCCTTCCTAAATGGTAATTTTACTATATTGCAATACTGAGTTTCTGTCAATCACAATTTATCAGCCTCTCTCTTTCCTGGCCGTTTCCTGTTTATCTGGCTTGAGATACAATAAGGAGTTTATTGAACATGTCACTCACACACAATGAAATGTCATTTTGCTGCAAAACCAAATAAAAAGTAATAAAAACCTGCACCTAACACATTATAAGTGGGTGGGGTTTTTGGATTCTAGGTCCTGTGACTTAATAAACAAGTGTATATATCTAAGAAGAGAATTTGCAGCATAAAATGTTTTCCAGTTCATATATTGGAAATTATCTTAAGTGAATTACTCTATAAACTGACTGCAAGTAAACTTATGACAGAAATTAGAGAATGTATTTCTAACTTTTGGGAGTGAGGTTCAGAACAATCTTCTAGAAGGGGATCGTGTAAGTTAAAAACCTGATGGGAGGTGAAGTTTGACACCTTTATACATGGGGAGTTCTGCCAAAACTGGGGTGCACAATGCAGGCACAGAGCTAGGGGGTCCAGGATGTCCCTTCCAAGTCTCTGTCCCTGATGCTGGGAAGTTCAGCAGTATTAGCCCCCAAATTATTAAAGCTCATCTATGAATTTGCTCTTTCACACGTTCCAAAGCCAATCGTGCTACTGATCTATGGGAGAAGATGGAGAATTATGTGGTTGGTTAAACTTACTGTCTTTTTTTCTTTCCAATGATCCCTAGCTGACTTTTCTAAAAGTTTATGATATTTGAAATGGGATTTCCATTCCCAGTTTGGCAGCTCTTGTATAAATAAGTGTAAGGTTTCTTTGTTTGTCTGCACTGGGCATCTTCATTTCCTGGCCATTTCTGATATATTGCTCATCAGTGCAGTGGTTAGGGAGTATAATTGCAGTGTATATCATACCGTAGTAAATAGCGGTGATAATAATCAAATGATTGTTCATCACATTTAATCAACATATTCAAAGGCTGTTTGCTATCCCAGCTGCATTGTTTGCATATCCAGCTGTTGCAGGCAGCCTGCTGTGTGAAGACTGCAGACACATTTTTAACTCTCTTGTTTCTGTTTCCTTAAATTCACATTTCAGTGAACAATGTTGAATTTGAAAGTAAAATGGAGGAGAAGAAAGATGTTGATGACTTGACGAAAAATGGGCCTAAACCAATCTTGCCTTACAGTTCCATGTTTATCCTAAGTCCTACGAATCCGTAAGTCCTCTGACTCTATAATACCACTTACGGGTTACAGGTACTTCAAGCATGGATGTTCAAAGCAGTAACATTAGCTTGATCTTCATCTCTGCCAGTCAAACACTTTGGGAAATTAAATAAAAACTTATGTAGGCTGCAGACCAGATGTTGCCTTTCAGCTGGGCTTTCTGGGGGAATAAATTGCCAGAACAGGGAAAAGATGATGCTTTAGGCACACCCTCCCTAACTGCCCTGCTGATGGCCAGGTGGGCAGTTATTTTCTCGGTCGTAGATCACTAAAGGGTGGGAGTACGGACTGTCGCTGGGAGAAGACATCAGGAGAAGCAGGCTGGGGGCTGGCTTGGATGTCAGTAAATTCTTGCAGGTTTCTCAGCTGGAATCCGTGCTCTTATTGCACTGGTACCCTCGCATCACTGAAAACTTTGAACTTCTGGGAAAACATGAATATTTTTCGTTTGTGAAGGCTGAGAGTACAGCTTATGGGATCTGTTGGGATTACAGCATTCCTTCCGCTTCAGGCATCTCTGCCTCATGGGGAGCTTTGTACTCAAAGCCTGTAAATACTGACTGTGTCGCTCTGAAGGGCTGCAGGACTAGACAACAGCAGCAGAGGTTGTAATAATCGTAGCATGAAGGCCTCTGAGTCATTTAAAGCTGTAATTTAGGGCAACGGAGGGCGTACGGAAGTTCTGCCAACCCAGAGATCTGCTAGGAGCAGATGTGATCGTTTCCCTCTGGTTCAGGTAGACTTGTTGCAGGTCCGAGATGTTGCTGTCTGAGGTTGTACTCTGCATGCTCAGATCCCTAAGGGGAACTCAGGCCCTTCCTTTGGCAACTCGTTTCAAGGGACGAACGAGTGCTCCTACACCTCCTGCTACTTAGGACAGTGACATTCTGGCTGTCTGTGCAGTCAGTGGAACAAAACGGGCTGCTCCATGTACTCATCTTTGACATCAGCAATGCACCTGTGGCAGAAGCCATGGTCTGGCACCCCCGGACAGTTGGCAGGCTGAATATTTTCTTGAACCACAAGTGCCAGCTGCATAGTTCAGGCTACAGCCCTGCGTGCTCCAAGATGATGCAGTCAAGAGCACCAAAGGAATTAATCAGCCGAAGAAGTTAGACTATCTGTCAGTGCCAGCTGCTAGAGAGGGAGAATGACCTCAAACTACTGCTAATCTGATCTCAACTCCAGGGGAAATGAACTGAAGACTCGATACATGCCCCTTCTGTCTCAAACCCACAAGAGACACACTTGTGTTTCCCCTTTGCCTTCTCCAGCCACCTGCCAGGTAGATCTCAGCACACTTTAGGATAACTGAGCCAAAAGCCCAGAGAGTTTCCCCTTTTCGGAACATTGTCCTATTTCAAATAAGGCAACTTGTCCTTTGAATTCATGTAAAAAGGAGGGCAGAGCATTAGATGAGGTACACTCATAGTGTAATTAGAGTTTCTGGGTCAAATTTGAATTATGGAACATGGCCCCCATCTGGCTGGATAAGAAAACAGTATTTCCCTAATATTTGGCAACATTGCAGAGTGGGAAACTAGATGGTCCCAAGCCCAGAAAGGTCTGAGTTAAGGAGTGGACTGGGCAGACAGAGAAGGAGCAAGACTTTTTTGTTTCATATGTATGCTTGTCTTCGCCCACCTCATCCTACAGTTCTGACCTTCTGAGCCTCATAGTCCAGGATTTGGTACAGTATTTCAGTCTCCTTGCAGTTTTCTCCAGCACATCGCAGCCACCCACCCCCCCCCTCAAAAAAAAAAGCTGTACTAAAAGACCATTGAAAAAACAAAGTTCGCTGGGAGAGACGTTTCGTAACACAGAGCCAAGGGGAAATAACAAGACAAAGACCAAACTTTAGGAATGTCAACAACTTGTTTTTCTTCCTCTGGGCAAGATGCAGACCCAGCTGGATCCCCTCAGGTGTTTTGGCTGGTGCTAACTTCTCAGGAGAAGTCTTTCTGCTTTCTGGGGTAGGAAGGTTTTCACCACATCTATCGCTATCTCCCTCCCAAGCCCCACTGGGGTGCATGACCTGGGTGCTGCTAGTGGGCAAAACGGTTCTGAGGAACAAAAATTGAACGGTATGACTTTCCAAGTGCCACCACCCTCTGAAAGCAGACGTGCATTTGAAGTGATTTCTCCAGCACCACTGGCAGTTTATGAATGCTCCCACATCTCACTGCTGGTTATGAATGATGAAGATCTAAAAATAGGGACTTGTTATTTCTTTGATGAAGTGAGTTTGATGCAAGAATTGCAGTTACAAATGTTACTGAAAACGTTGCCTTTCACTTCTATGGATTCATGGAGCACAGAGATGATAACCTTCTTCTGTCAGATTGATAGCCAGAGTTAAGGGATCCACAAAACAGTATCAAATATCTTTCCTTGGTATTTGTAACTCTTTTTCATTCTGAATCCATTAGCAATCCAGAGAAAGGAAATATAAAAGTAGATATGAAAAATAAATTTTAACTCTAACTGTTCAGATATTTACTTAGACAAAATGTGATATAACCACCGAATTACATTTTCAGATAACAAAGTTGTTGACGAGTTACACATATAATTTGATTCTCAGGCAGAACCTAAGTCCTTTATTCAGCTGACAAATATGACACAAACGTAGAGTTCTCTGTGCCGTTAAGTATTTGTGAATTGTGGTCAGATAGAGTTATTAGCTGAAATTTTTGAATAGTTTTCATTGCTTAGAAATTGAAGCATTTGTCACTTTTCTTGGACACAATTTGTGAAGAAAAAGATTAGGTTAAATTAATCAAATATATTACTGTAAAGTATTTGTGCAGCTTATAAAGCATGTCTCAGAATAAAGCACAGGCAGAGGTACTAGGCAAGAGCGACTGGTAGAAGTAATACAGTTACAAAGCTAGTTTCAGCTAAAAGTCTCAAAGTGTGTACCATATATCTCAATTTTAAAGGGATTAGTTTATATTAAAAGGATTTCAAACCTAGTTTTGGACTCACAGGACTTTAGCCTCTGAGTTCAAAGTGAAAAGGATGGGGGAGTATATAAACATAATTTGTAGAATAGAGTCTGAATGCTTGAAAGCTTTCAGTGCCCTTTTGATAGATAGATAGATAGATGTCACTGCTTTGCAGAGGGCATAGAGATCAGTGCAGAGGTGTTAACTGTCTGTCTTTAAATCTCACCACAGATCTGTTGCAAACTGAATTTTAAAGCCATTGATCGTGGTTTTTATTTTCTTACCATTATTGTAATAGGAATCCTAAAGGTGATATTCCTGATGAACATTGTCCTTCTGCCAGTCTTTCATACCACTGTGCTTGACTTCCAGCACCTGCAGTAGCCCTCCTCTGTGCTTATCTTATTTGCAGGATTCGCCGTCTGTTCCACTACATCGTCAACCTGCGCTATTTCGAGATGGTCATCCTCATAGTTATAGCCCTTAGCAGCATTGCCCTGGCTGCAGAAGACCCTGTCCAAGCCGAGTCACCAAGGAATGATGTGAGTACCAACCAACGTGGCCAGAACAAAATTGTTCTGCTTCTCCCATCAGTTATGCATGTGGCATGTCTGTTCCCATCTCCAAAGGGTAACACGGTGCACCAGCAAGAGCAAAAGCGGAGCTTTCTTTAATAACATACTCAAATTAACTTGTTCCACTATCAAAATCCTCACAGTTCCTGTCCCTTTCTGCTGCTTCAACCACATCTGAGTTTGAGAACTCAGAAATCACTGCTGTTTGGCTGGTATGACTTACGTGGAAGCAGCCTGCAAAGCTTACACACGATTCAGCAATGGGAAAGGCTTCCCTGGTCACAAGCCAGGGATGACATTTTCCTAAGGTCCGCTGCTCCTGCTAGAGCAGAGCCTAAGTAAAACCAGATACGGCTTTTTATCTTGATGGAGCATGGTAGCAACCTCCTAGAATTAGTAGCAAATCTACTTGTCCATGGATGCCAAACCAAACTCAAAGACTTCATAGATATGTGCTGCTAGGAGCAGAAGTAGGGACGTGCCACCTTTTACGTGAGAGCACGCAGCCCAGGAACGTTCACGAGGCAGATAGCGGGATGTCTTTTCACAAGGACATTGGCACAGAGCTGATTACAGTTACATGGACAACTGGGAGTCCACAGAACTGAAGATTAAGTATAGAAGTTGCACCATGCTGTTGCCTAATTTTGGACTCTCCTGTGTAGGTAGTTGCAGTACATGGGAATCATGTGATGTTTATATTGACTTAATATCCATTCACTATGTATAATCATATGAATGTGACTGTGAATAGCTGCATTCCATCCACAGAATTATATGAAAATTTAGGAGATCTATAGATATTTGAAGGGACCAGTATTGCATTTACCAGGATGTGTACCGAGGGTCTTGTGTTCATCCACCCCTTTGACAGATTACGGAACTGAATAGCTTCAGAGCACAAGTCAGCAGACCAGGTCAGAGCAGGAATTGCCTGGCCTGGCCTCTTGCTTCTGAATCTGGTCGGTATTAGCTTTTTTCCAGAGGAGGATCCACAAATCCCTGTATCAGTAATGAGCTGAAGTAGCTACGAGCAATCTCTCTTCCTCATCCGTAATAACTGTGGAATCAGTTTTACAAAAAGGGTTTTATCACTCTTACTGTCCCAAGGTCTTTAATAATACTGTCATCAGCGACAGCAGAAGAGAAACCCAGGTTGCTACAGGCTGAAACAGATGCTGGTAAATAAGCTCTTTAGGAAAGGATATACAAATATTTTGATTTGAAATATCCATTTTGCCTTATTAAACCTGCCATATATGCAGGTGTACTGAAGCAACCCGTGGGCATGCATACTGCAGTCTGGCAAGGACTGGAAAAAATGTTGCTGTTTAAATCAGATGATTCAAGTTTGTGCCTAAACTAGTTGAAAGCCTCCCATCAGATGATATTTACCCACTGTAGCAAATAGACAACTGTCAGAATAGACTTTTTACTCTTTGCTCATGTGCAGATTATTTTGGTGTGTAGTCCTCCCTAATACACATTTCTCTTTCCCATTTAGGCTCTGAAATACTTGGATTATATATTTACGGGTGTCTTTACCTTTGAGATGGTGATCAAGGTAAGAATTTTTCCAAGCAGAAAGGTTCACCTCCCCTTTCAGATTTACACTCATCTACTTCTGGGAAGCTGGAGAAAGCAGGAGGAGCACAACAGATCTCCCTGGGGCACCTGGAGAGGTGGTGATGATGGAAAGCTTTAGCTCAGGAGCAGCACTTGGAAGTAGCCAGTGCACAACAGATGCCTTTCTGTAGCGGCTCTCCTGGTTTCTTTAATCTCATGTTTTATGGAGGAAAATAAGGACATCTTTAGTAGCTGCAGTTGTGCAAGAGGATAAGATCTGCGAATGCCTGATGCAGAAATGTCTGTGCATGGCTAAGGACACAGGAGCTGATAGAACTTACTGACACACGTCTAATTCTTCCCTTTTCCTTTGATGGTGATCAGGAATATTAATAGCAACTGATTCTTGGTCTGTCATGTTTCAAAAAGTTGAGGATTTATCTTTTTACTCTACTCAGTAGGGTCATAGGTTTTGCTAAGACTATGGGGCAGTAACTTTCCAGAAAGCATAATTCTAATAAAGTCATGATTTATTCTTGGGGTAATGATGGAGTTAGTTTTTATCGTCAGAGTAAGATGTAGAAAGGATGCAGAATAAAAACCAGATTTTCCCCTTGTTTGTTTAGTAGAAGGTTTTGAAGCTATGTGACGAAAGCAACCTTATGTGGGCAGTTGCAGAGCTCTCAGAAAAACAGATAAAATGTCTAGCACGTGCTTTGACACTCAGCTTTAGCAGCATCGTAAGAAGACTCAGTCTCGCGCAGAAGCAAGCCAGGTTGCTGCACTGAGCAGCATCTTTCAGCAAGTGGTCCGGAGCAGGTGTATATCTCTGACTGTTGCCTTTGGCTGTGGATCTTCCTATCCTCTCTTTGTGTTTTATTGTGTAATACCCTATGCCAGTTGTTAACTGCTACTAATCTGGTTGAATTGGGGTAGAATAAAATTAAACTATCTGGATGTTTCATGCACAGACTGCTGTTCCCATAAATTAATGCATGCCTGTGCAAAGAAGGCTGTGTAGCAGGTAGGACCCTTGTCTCTTGTGCTTTTGGTTATGATTTATTGACTTCAGCTTCAGTTTTGATAGAGCTCTCCATGACTATTAGAGATGAGCAGCTTGACTAAGTATCTAGATGTTGCCCTGCTGCTGTGAAGCCCTGAAGAAGAGTTTGTGAAGGGTTATTTGATACAGGACAACCTTGGCAGTGTTGATTTGGTACTTGTTTTATTAAAACTCTTTCTTTTCATGTGTTTCCTCTGAAGATGATTGACTTGGGGCTGTTACTCCATCCTGGCTCCTACTTCCGTGACCTGTGGAATATCCTGGACTTCATTGTAGTCAGTGGGGCCTTGGTGGCGTTTGCCTTCTCGTAAGTACATTTTCCTTAACATTCCAATTTGTAGGAAATAAGTTGCAGAGGAGGCAGGACCCTGGCACAGAGCTAGTTGTGAAGCGTAGTGTTTGTGGCTCCATTTCTCAGTGAAATGTTCAGTTTCTGCCCTTTATCATCTCGTAGCCTGGGGAGAAAAGAAATCCCTAAATTTGTGTTGCAGAATCTCTTGAACATTCTCCCAGCTTTAGGGTGAGTCCGTTCACTGTTCATTCAAACATTAAGCCAAGATTTTTGTGACTGTTTGGCCAACTTCTTTTCAAGGACACATTGTAATAATTTGTGGCAGTCCAATGTCTTCAGGCAATTGTTTTAAAAACTATTGTTACTATGAAAAAAAAGTTAATGAAATCAGCTGATAACTCAGTGAACTCTCTACAAAACAGTGGTTTTAGTGTCATGGATATTTCTGGTTCATATACCTTTGGTATTTCTCTCTCCTCCTCTCTCATTCAGGGCACTTGCATTTCCGGAGAGTTTTACTTCTAAGGCTAATTACTCCCTCCCTCAAACAGAACTCTCTCATTTATGACATTAAATAATATTCCATGTGCTTCTTTAATGTCATGGAGGATACGGAGCAACAGACACAGAGGAATTGCTTTTTTTAAAATGAAGATTAGCTTTTTGTTTAAGCATTTTTCTCAAAAGAGACCAGAGGAAGAACAATGTAGGTTCTTCAGAACTTGGGGAGCTCAGAGTTGGATGACGGAAAGAAAATTTCCATATGTAGTTCTGGGCCACGAAATAGTTGAATTGCAAATGTTTTCCTGAGAAATTCCAGGAGATGACCTGGAAACAGGCTACAGGACTTGGCCAGTTTAATCTTCTGCTAAATTAGCCTTGAGTAATTACAGTGAACATTCAGCAGTCCTTGCTCAAACTGCACTCACCTGTTTGTTGACATGATGTTTTACTTGCTAATGAGAATTAGCAGTGTTTTACTTGCTAATGAGAGAGTGCATTCACCTTTGTCAAGGAACTGTGAATGCCTGTCTTGTATATTTTAGACTGACAGTAATTTTTAGGCAGACAGCCATATCCGTTGCTCCTCTTCTGTGCTCTGCTGATGAAAAATGTCCCTTGCAGCACAAAAAGTTACTGGGACCTTTCTGGTAAGGTTGGCCTGGAATACTTCTCAGGAGTTTTTCATTTTCCGAGTGTCAAAATTCTTTTAACGTTAAGGCTGTGAGATTTGTATTTTAGATCTTCTATTCTTCATAGCAAATGCTGGCTAAAAAAGTCTAAGCTAATTTGACCAAGGAGTGGATGGACAGAAGGAGATGGGATTGACATTGTTGGTATGGTTTTTGAACCAGTTGAGGAGTGACACTTGGGGATATTGGGGTGTGGGCTTTCTGTGCCCAATCCTACTCCAAAGAATTGTTTAGATCTTGGAGGAAGTCATGTCCAACATAAGTTTTTTCGAAGCGACACTGCCCTCTGCTCTTTAAAAACTTTGTTCCTATTCATTAGAAATTTGTTTTTCAGAGGAATCGAGTGCTCTGTTGTAAGCAAGGTTGTCTTGAGATGGAATTGCTAGCCTGGTCTGGTGAATGTCTTGCTTACCTAAAATTTGGCATCCAAACCCAGGTTGCTTTTTAAGCTTAACTAGGTACATGTGTGGTTTAGTTACCCTGAACATGAAATACATTCACATAACATCTTTCAGAACTGGATGTGGTCAGACTAAGTTAAGCAAAAACTTACTAAAAAAAAAATATTTAGCAAGTTAACAGAGCTCCTCTGAAATGAAGACAGGTATAAAAGTAAAATAATACTAGTCACAACTATGAGTTTGCAGAACAATATCACCCAAGTCTGTGTTTCACTGAGAATTCCCCTTTTCCATTAAGAATTCAAACTTTCAGGGCAAACTGGGAGAAGGGGCATTTTGTCAGCACTTCAGAGCAACTTTGTGTGCTGTGAGAACAAACATCATGGTTTGCCTTTAAAACATCTTGTCTTTGAACAATATTTTCTTTTGGACAAGTTATAGATTAAAATGAATAATTTTTAATCTTTCTGAGTCTTTTTGTGCTCAGGTTTTCTATTGCTCACATTAGGCCATGAATATCTAACAGCACCTCATCAGCTCTAAATAAATTACTTGTACATCCCCTGATTGTGCTTCATAATAGAGTGCCCCAAGCTGCTCCTATTTTACATGCTGTTTGAGTAAGTATTGAGCAGGGATTTTACAGAAAGCGAATGCATAAAACCTGCCTGCCTATTTACCGTCTCCCAGATTAAAGCAAGCCAAACCTATTTCTGAGAATTGGAAAAATTTGAATTTCTTCTATGATTTTTATTATGACTGTAACCTCTGCTACACATCCATGTTTCAGCAGGCGGTGAGTGTTGACGTCCAATTTGGAGAATACTTGCAGTATCTCTGGTCTAACCTGAGAGCAGGAAATCCAGTCATTTGTAGGAGATGACTTGCTCTCTGTTCCCACTAGTCCAGTTATGAGTACCAACAAGTCTCAGACTGCTCAGATGAAAATTGGGTAGATAGTCATGTCCTTAGCTCAACTGCGCTGTTTGGTTAAACCAGACGGACGCACCGAGGCTGCTGAATTTTGATAATTCTGAAAACAAGCTTTTGGAGAATAAACTGGGTGATCTTCACTGTTTTGTTAGTGGTTTTTTTCTAGAAAACACTACAGTCCTGTCACTCATCATCAGTGTCACTGCAAAAATGTATTTAATGTGGCTGTTACCAGTTTCTGTTTGCAAGAACACACAGTCGCCACTCAGTGGGTGTGATTTAATTCACGCGTGTTCTTGACCTCGTTGGTGTGCAGTGAAGGTGATGTGAATCAACTTCTTGCTGAGCAGACACGTCACTGAAAACCTAAGGAAAAACAGAGCTCCCTGAAACGCTTCCATCTAGAATATTGCAACAGCCTCTATTTGTTTAGGCATACGAGATGGTATCAGTCGTTGCTGCAAGGTTCATAAGATCCATCTCAGCCTCTCAAACCAGCTAACAGTCTGCTTTCTGCCTGTAGCTCTTTAGAAGCCGTTCTGTGCTTGACTGTACTTCAAATAAAATTTTTTTTTAAAACAAGGCCCCCAGTGAGATGCTATAAACATTAGTAATACTGATGATGGTGACAATAAAATAATGTCTTCCATTTAGCAATGTATTTCTAACAGAAATTCCTTTCTTTTTCTAGAGACAAACATGCCACAAACACACAGACATGTTTCAGTCTTTAGGGAAATTGAAGTAGAGGAGCCTGAAGCAAGCTAGCAAATTTGTCATCAGAATTTATCAGCCCCAGGTGTAAAATGTACTTGCTCAATAGTGATAGCTGATGAATAGCAGCGAAGAGGTTGCATTTTTACATCTTCAACAACAGAAAGGTGACTGAGATGCACGGAACTTCACACTGCTCTTTGAAAAAGCCAACAGCATTTGCCAAACAGTCAAGGTTATTACCTCCCAAAGTGTCAGGGGGATGAAGGTATATTTGCCCTGTCTGCTTGTCAGTCGAAGGGCTGATGCACGGCGGGGATGTGTGGGTATATGCTGTATAGCCAATCTGTTGCTTCCTTGCTTGTTTATTTTTATGATTATTGCGTTGGTGGGTGTGGGACAGGGGATGGGATTATCTGCCAGCACATATCTGTATGTGCATGGGGTGCACGGTATAGCCTTATGTTTGTGTTTGTCATTGACTTTGCTCTTTCTTTGTCTTCCTCTTGCTGGAATCTCTCTAGGAGTTTCATGGGGTAATATGTTATTCCTGTCTCTTGCTGCACTGTTATGCCTGTCAAACATGTGTACACACACTTGCCACTGTGGAAACGAACCATGTTACACTCATCGCATCGACTCCTTTGTCCCTTTATTACTCATTATTCAGTGAAACGTATTTTCCCTTAACAATCCTCATTCATCCTTATTTCCTTTAAGCAGAGGATAGAAGCAGACTAGAAAGCCAAGTACACCAGAGAGTCAGAATCCATGATACGCAGGTATATGTGGGGGGACGACTTAGTGGGTACATTGTTAATGTCTGAGTTGCAATTCATGAAAATCTTAATAACTAGGTTTAAAGAAGCAGTTTTATTCTCATTCAGAGGATTGCACCTCTAAACTGCATTAGCAGTGCTGGAAGCTTCAGGACTTATTTTGTGCAGTCTGGGCAAACACGACATTGGTGGAAAGTCTTTGACATGAAAATAGAATTGTAGAGAGCTTCTCAAGAGATTGGCAGGGGCAATTTATAAAGGAGGAGGTAGCGATAGTTGTATTTAACCGTCTACAAGGAGGTGGCAGTTGTGTCATCAGTGCAGTACAGCTTTGCTTCGAGGACGGAGCGGGAGGCAGAGCTGCATCGTCTCAGGCCGTGGTTCCAAGCAGGGCAGGAGCTTGGGTGGGCTCCTCCGCAGCAGATAACCCAGAGATGCAATGAAAAGGATGCAAAGGTCGGTCTTTGATGTGGTCCAGGAAATTGGGTACTTATTTCTTTCCTCTGTCTAGGAAACCAGATCATTTAAAACCCTGGAAAAGGGTGGCTTTGTGCTTGGGCAGAGTTGTGTGACCTCATTTATTCTTCGGTGGAGGAATTCACTTTCTGCCTTGGGGATTTCAGGCAATTGCAGAAGGCAGTGACTCCACCCTACTCTGAATATTTGATGACAGGGCTCTGAGGCCCACGTTACGTGAAATCAGAGCTGCTGGCAGGAGCAACAGAAACAAGAAGCTTCCATTTTAAAGAACTATTAATTTTTTAAAGGATCCTTTATTTATGAAAGGAAAAAAAGGCCATGTAAATCTCATTTTAAAATATTTTTAATGTTTTAAACAAATAAGCAGCAAACTGCCCCAGAAAAAAACAGAACTGGCCTAATGCAATTTTTTTCATCATGGTGTATTTTTTTTTTTTCCTAAGTCATTGGGCTTCTGTTCACTGTCTGTCTTTATCCTGCTTGCTCTTCTGTATCTCTTCTGAATTTTGTACTTGTTATTCTGCAGTTGACTGAGATCTTGTCCTTCCATAGCAATTTATTTTTGTTGTGAGAAATATTCTGGTCGAATGTGTGCTTGTGTACACCTTTGACTGAATCCTCATTCCATCTGGAACTTTTATTTTGTGGGGCATCTGGCTTTGTATTAGAGTGGCGTAAAAAACAATATTGGCAGAGGGGGTTCTTAAAAACAGTGAAAACGACCCTTAAGGTTTTATTTGACAGGCTGAAATAGTTGCAGAAGATCCATTTAATTAAAATGCAATTTGCATCACTTTAGTTCAGAGTACTGGTCCATTGAAAAAGCTTTCTCCTGTAGCAGGAATCTTACTGTGACAAGAAGTAAGTACGATTTTTCAGGATTCTCTATATGACTTAGATCGTAAATCCCATTAACATTTAATTGGCTCACACTCTTTATTTGCTTAGGTGCCTGAAAGGGGAAAATAAAATCAACCCTTCTTAGTGTCCTTCATTCAGGCAGAAGGAATTTTGTAAGACTGGAGCTGTCTGCCCTTCACCTCCATCTCCAACCCCCGTGCGAGGGAAAAACATCTTCTGCTCTCATAGACCCAGGAGGAAGGATTTGCTCTGCCTCACCTATTCACTAGTCCCCAGTAGGTCTGTTTAACCTTCCCAGAAATATTAAGACCACAGAGATTGTTGCTTCAGGCTTGGAGCCAGCCCTGTGAGATGTGAGCTAGCTCTGTCAGAGCCGAGAAGTGTCTCTCTTCTCATCTTGAACTTCCCCTCCAGGAGGCCTAATTAGTACAGCTGTTATTTAGGGCAAATGCATGGTAGTGTAGTAAACAGGTGTTTAGGTCTCCTGGGATCAGGAGCACTGGAAGACACCATGCAGAAATACTCTGTGGTTCTGCCTGAACCCAGGTGAGGACTGTTGAGGTTTATGAGTTCAGTTGCTACCTGCCAGTGGCTGTGCTGCTAAGCTGGGCTATGTGTGTTAATTTGCAAACCAGAAACATGGCCACAAATGATCATGATCAAGAATTGAATGTAGTTCTGGGCCAAGGTATCTCACCTCTTTTTTTCTCCTACTGCCCCAACTACATATCCCTTAACCCTCTCACCTTCACTCTTCCCTCAACTCTACTTGCCTCAATTCATACCTCTTCACTTTCTCTGCCCTGGCTTCCTCATCTAGTTAAACCCCAAATACCTGGGCAACATGGAGCACCCCGAGCGATCTGCTTGGTCGTCCAAAGGGGAGAGGGCAGAAGGAGCAGCAGGGGCAGGCGAGGTGATGGGCATGTGCTGGGTGACCTTCAGCCATGGGAACAGGCTGGCTGGCCGAGCCAGGTGGTATCTCTTTCCCGGTAACTTATTTCCCCTTCTACTTCCCTCCTGCCACTTCTCAAGAGGCTGAACAAATTGTTTTGCAGCCAGGGAGGCCATTGCTGAGGACCAGACAAAGCTGCCTGGGGAGTAGGTGAGCTCCAGTTTGGCTGGCTCAGCTGGAAGCTATGGTGAAGAGGAGATGGCTGCAGTGACCATGGCAGGGTCGTTGCTTGCTAGGAGTTGGTGATTTGAAAGCAAGTATGCAGAGGCAAATGTGGGCCAGATCTTCAGTTATGCTAAAACCTAAAGAGAAAGCCAGTAAAAGCTATGTTGGCAGCCTCTGCTTCATCTCAGCCAGATTAAAGAGTCTCTAATGAGAATCAAAAATTATTTCTTTAAAATATTTAATAGTTATTTTGTGGCATCAAATCAGTCCCGTAACTCCATGAGTATTAGCTCAATCACCTGGATTTACAGCCATGCCAGCAGTCAGGATCCTTCTGCAGCTGATTAAAATGGCCTTAAAGCAGCCCTGAAAGACAAGATAGGGAGAGGATAGGTAAATCTCCATCCTGTTCCCCCTCTCCTCCATTTCTGTTAAATCAAGTGCAAAGGCAACTTGTGTTCAAGGTATAAGTCATAGGGATACAACCCACAGCCCTCCAAAAATTGCTTGTGTCTCACCGCTTATTGCATTTCAGGACAACTGCAGTGCCAGGTAACTGGAGAAAGAGACTGGAGATGAGACAGGAATGTGTGTTTCTAGGTTGCAGATTCCAGTCCAGTGTTAGTATTGAGTAGTGCAGTATTAGTACTGAGTTATTAGTCTTTTAGAAGTGGATAGATTTCAAAAAAGACCCCTTCCAGGCCTGAGCAGGGTCAGCCAGCCACAAAACTGGGTGGTTTCCTCCGTTCTTGGTGCTTGTCCCCTAGCACAGTGCATAAGGCTGATTGCGAGCAGGGGGGGAAGCTTTGCAGTCCACTACCTGCACATACTTCTTGTGGGTCTCCCGGGTTATTTGTGGTTTTATTGCTTTCTTGTTGGAGAAGAGAAATGTTTAGCAAACTGGAAGAGCACAGAATAGGTATATCAGCATCCCTTCAACATGTTATTCATTCGTACCTGTGTGACTTCAATGCAGTCTCAGACCTGAACCTATAGTCATGAATAAAACTCCGTTAAAGATTTTCATCCCATTTTTCACTTCATATGAAATGAAGGGGAATGTCATTGTTTTGCTGTTCGGTTGGAAGAAGATGTAACTCTGTCTTTTTTATTTATTTTGGAAGTGCACGAGGAAAGGAACTCTGTCCTTCCCCTAGAAACCTCTTAATGGTAACAAGAGGGAACGGTCTCAACTCTTGCACTCAGTTTTAATAAAACCTAAAACCAAAACATGATTTACAACACCTGCATGCGTAAGTGGGAAGTTGCCCTAGCACTGTTCCAGGCATGTAATATGCCATCATATTACATGTTCCTGCATGGGTTTGGTAGCATGTCTTCCAAGAGAGACTCGAGGATGAGGGTATGGGCATGGAGCAGCTCTAGTCCCCAGAAGAGCTCTGTCCCTCGCCTTGAAGGCTCCAGTTCCCTCTGGTCACTCTCTGCTTGTTTAGACACAACAGCTCTGCCAGAGAAGTGCAAGAAGCACGCAGAGAAACATCCTCCTGTCCCACCCAGGTGCCTGGGAGGGAGAAGACCCAAGTGTGACTTTCTCACTTCTCCTGCCTGGGGCTGGGATGAAGGTACTGAGCCTCCTCCTCTCCCCATGGCTGCAGTCCAGGTGTGCTGCTGTCATGGCTTTGACTGCTGCCTGGGTGGGAAGCCGGGACGGGAAGGTCTTCTGTCCCTGGGTGATGCTCGGTGAGTAGCTGGGACACGAGCGAAGGCTGGAGAGCACGTGTGGCTGAACGCTGCAAGGATCATGTCCTGCCCACAGCCTTCCTCCCGTGCAGTGATTACCACATCTCAGGTTGGGTGCTCCTCTTGCAGTCCGCACTAGTACTGTCTGCATCCATGGTGAGGATGGCACCCAAAACCTGTGAAAAAAACGAACCAACCCAAAACAATTCCACAACCAAAACCACGTTGGATACTTATAGATATTCTAGTTAGTGATCTGAGAACCAAACTATTCCCTCTGTTGTTCTTGTGCCTTTTATCCTTTGCAGAGGAACCAAAGGCAAAGACATCAACACAATCAAGTCACTGCGAGTTCTGCGGGTCCTAAGACCGCTGAAGACCATTAAAAGGCTGCCAAAACTAAAGGTTAGAGAATAACCACAAATCTTTCCTTCTCTGGAGGTTTGCAGCTGATCTGAGTGGAATTTGATGGACTAAACTTAATCCAAGTTATTTCTGTTCCCTTTATTTTGTTGCAATTAATCTGTTTGCCAGATTTATAAAAATAGTTGTGCAGATGTTTAGCAAATGTCAACCACTTGTTTCTTTAGCAAACATTGTGTGCAATATTATGAATTATTATGAATGCACATTAAAATCAAACTTCCAAAAAAAGAAAAGAAAAAATGCAAATAAATTAAATTACAGTTCACGAGTGTGATGCTCTTAGATATTGTACAGGAGAAAATAGGTTTTGGAGTTTTTTACTTTCCCTAGAGAACTTCACATGAATATTGCAAGATTTTCTACAGTCTGTCTAAAGAGAAATGTCATTGCTGTATAAGGAATTTTAATCTGTTCATCTTTTCTATTAAAGAATATAATAGTGCAGGGTTTTATGGCAGTACCCTTTCATGTCTAGAATACTAAGTTACAAAGTAAAATAAACATAATGGCCTGTGGTTATTCAACACCATTTCATGAACACTTTGAGATACAGGCAGCCCCTGGAAGCAGAGAATGGAAGGAGTTACAAAATTTAATAATTTCTGACTTTTGGGAACTCTTGAATACCTATTGTAGAATGTCTTCATGTGCCATCACTGCTCGCAGGATTTTTTATGAGACACGGGGAAAAAATGATGGGTACTTTTGCACATGGCTGAAACTATGTTTGACAATTCCTATTGTCACACAGTGGCACGTAAAAATCAGGGTCAGCTGTTATTTAGATTTGCTTTTGTCCTTACCTGCAATTCATGCTTAAATAATTTTAATTTTATGCATTTTTATGCATACTAAATTTACCTCAAAAGATAAGGAAGAGTAACATAGAAAATGGTCTTCATTTGTTTAGAAATTTGAATGTACAGCTCTTAGGTCATAAAACAGCCAACAGTAGCTCAGTCCTACGGCAAGATGCCGAAAGTTTTCTTTTTATTGAATGTCTTCCTTGTTTTCAAGCCATTTTACAGAGTAATTTAACGGCTTCTAAAGAAACACTCAGAAATCTTTATGTGAAACAGAAGTCGTATTCATGTGGTTTGTCTTCAAAATTCTGTCAATTTTTTTTTTTTTCCCCCTGGATGTGGTCTTGTATGCAACAATCAGCAAGAGTAATGGGGTGATTAGAGATATTTCCAGTGTTTTAATTCAGCATTTCTGGGTTGCATCAGGAGTGTAATTTTGTGAATTATTCACTTCCATTCAGAGAAACAGGAACAGTATTGTATAAACCCCGCACTTGGGCAGTAAGACTGCTCAATTTGTATTATTATGGCAAACTTCTCAGACTAAAATTACACTGCAAATTACGTGTAACAATGAATCAGTGACTAATAACCAAATAATAAATGTATTTGAGAAGTTCTTTGCAGGGGGTTCAGAAGTGACATATGCTGACTAGATTAGTCACACTTAAGTTTGATAGACAGTTCATTAGAAAAATATTATTCAAAGCATTTGGTTGTTTTGTATCTGATATATTATCCTTATTATTCAAACCAAAATAATGGCCAACGTGTAACATATTTGATGAGCTTTTACCTATCCACTGGGAGTAAATTAAACAAAAATGTGGTTTTTACTTCATAATTGGCCATGGAAATATTTGCTTAGGACTAATATTTATCTCGACGAGCTGCGATTGTCTTTATAAATTTTACAGGCAGCACCAGAAAATCCAGTGGCAGAGCCAAACTCGCCGAGAAAGCAGGAGATGTAGGAAGCCAGCGTTACTTCTCACAGCTGGAGCATGACTCTTGGTCAAACACTTGGTGTGCAAGTCCCTGAAACCATCCATGGGTTGTAGGTTGGGTAATTACTCCCAAGCGTAGTTAGATGCTAGACGCCAAGATGTTAGATGCACTTTTCCTTTCTTTCAATCCCTAACCTTGTTCTCCTCCATCCCCAGGCTGTCTTTGACTGCGTGGTGAATTCCCTGAAGAACGTCCTCAATATCCTCATAGTTTACATGCTCTTCATGTTCATTTTTGCTGTCATTGCTGTGCAGCTCTTCAAAGGCCGATTCTTCTACTGCACCGATGAGTCAAAGGAGCTGGAGAAGGACTGCAGGTACAGCCGGGGGCAGGGGCTGTGGGGGAGAACCCAACTTTCCTCCAGCAGCAGCAGCTCCCCTGACTGTCCCAAAGCTGCATCAGTCAGGTATCTGCTGAGCTTGGTGAGTCTCCTGTAAGTAAGAGCAATGCTTCGGCACAATTAGCCTAGAGGTGAATTTTCCCTTTTGATGTCTGAACAACTGCATCGTTCCTGGCTCCGATCTAGCAAATGCTTACCCAAACGCTTAATGTTACAGGGGAGCAGGCTTCTCTCCCAGGGAGGGCTAGGTGGGATTTTAAGGTAAAATATTTTTGAAGGGATGGCGTGACTCCTCTTTCTACCTGCTGCCTTGATTCTTAGGGCTTGTATGAATTAGAAAAACATAATGAATAAATAATCAGAAGTAAGTCAGTTGGAAGTTAAAGAGCTCCTAATTAGTTAGAAAAGGGGACAGTATTTGAATATCTTAAAAGCCCTGTCGTGCTTTGTCCTTTGCAGCAGACTGTCAAGGTATATTACTCACCACAGCGTGCATCTTTCTCACTTGCCTTTTTTCTTGGCACCCAAACCACAACCTCAGCACCGTCCAGCTCTGCTCGCGTTACACCTCTCCTCCTGCCTTGCAAGCGCAGGGTACGTCCCCGGTGGGACTGCATGTACACAGCATCCGCGGAGGCTGTTGCTGCGCTTCGTCCTTGCAATAAAGCAGATCTATTACAGAAAGGGATGTGAAATTACAGAACAGTGTAGGTTGGAGGGGAGCTCTCCAGATTCCAGGTCCCTTGACCCCTCAAAGTGGGACATATTTAGGAACTGGATCCAACTCCGAAGTAGGAGTCAGAGACTTTTCCCCATCAAGTTTTCTGTGGGATCAGATAATTTGGGGGCCAGCATGCCGTTAATTGCTGGCTTTGCCTAATGAATGAATGCCCTGATTACAATTTCTTTTATTTCTAGACCTCAGATCCAGTTCCTGTGGCTCGAAATGGCTTGAAAAATGGCCTTTACTTCTGTTACAAACCTAAGGGCTGTCTCTTTCTTTGTCTTTAATACATAGCACATTCAGACTCTGCTACTAGGACTTTCCGATGCTTCTCAGTGAGTCATATGAAATGGCTGATTTGGTTTAATTCTCTCATTTGGTCTGAATCTCTGTTTTTCCTAGGGGTCAGTACCTTGATTATGAAAAAAATGAGGTGGAGGCACAGCCCAGGGAATGGAAAAAATACGAGTTTCACTACGACAACGTGCTCTGGGCTCTGCTCACACTCTTCACCGTCTCTACAGGCGAAGGTTGGCCAACGTGAGTACATGGGGCCAGCAGGGTCAGTGGTCACGGAGGTAATGGCAGATTTCCACAGCTCTGAGGGACACGTAGACAGGAGGTGACCTCTGAAATAAGAATAGTCTTTTATCAGCTAAGCTTTTACCTTCCCTTGTGTGATTATTGGGTGAATCAGCAGACAGGGCTCTGCAATTTTCTCGACGTTCCTCTGAGCCTGCACAGGGATGCTTAGGTAGTTTTCAGTACTTAATAGCTTGCTTGCTCCAGTATTTTGGACTTGCACACCTTTCTCAGGTGTAAAATTGATAATGGAAATGTAAAAAAAATGAGGGGTAAAAGTATTGTGACCTATGCTGAAAGTATGCTGGGTCTGACAGTCCCAAAATTATATTCAGTTCAGCATATGACTTTATTTTGGCACACTTTTCTGCTGGGACATGTGGAGCACAATTCATGGCCAGGTTTTCTCCATGGCAGGTCTTCCCTGTCCTCCATGTTCAACTATTTCATAAAACAAAGAATAGCACATACAGCAGCATCAGTCTCCCTTTTCCAGCCCTTCACTGTGTTCCCCTACTCGGAGGTCATCAATACCTTTCTTTTCTCACCCTTACTTCATCCCTGTGGACCAGAGAAGAGAAGCCAGATCTAACTGTATCCTCTCCCCTTGGGCAGGAGGGATAAGTGGATCTGTATGTAGCAAATCTCCATCATTCTGCAGAATGGTGAAAACAGAAAGGGTTTCCCTAAAAATATCCTCAAGGAAAACTGCATCCCAGTCATAAAGATGGGAGTGAGTTTGACCTGAGCATATGTGGAAAACCCTCCACACGAGTGAAGGCCAGTGAGTGACTATCAGGGTGTCATTGGTGCTTCACGCTGATTTCATTGACTTTTCTTCTCTCTTTGCCCTTGATTGCAGTGTGCTGAAGCACTCGGTGGATGCTACCTACGAGGAACAGGGTCCCAGCCCTGGCTACCGAATGGAAATGTCTATCTTTTACGTGGTGTATTTTGTTGTCTTTCCTTTTTTCTTTGTGAACATCTTTGTGGCGTTAATCATCATCACCTTCCAAGAGCAAGGAGATAAAGTGATGTCAGAGTGCAGCCTCGAGAAAAACGAGGTACCTGCGTCTTCTGAATCTAAAGTTAGCACCTAGGGGCTTAGAGCACCTCGATACTGGTGGAAACCCACTCCTCATCCCTCCCATGCCGTAGGGGGCTTTAGAGCAGTTGTTACCTGAGGGTGTGTGGTGTAGAGAGCAAACAAATTACAGATTATTTCAGCTTTTGCATAAAAACAAACCAGGGAGAGCCCCTGAATGCTTCATATTAGTAAGCACTCTCACACATCCCTGTGGACCGCACCTCCGCTTCAAAGTGAAGATAGATTTGCATGTTAGCCTGAGCATGTAGGTGTGAAAGCAGACAAATCTTTGACCTTTGAGAGGCCAGTCATCAGAAATCAAACTGAACTACAACTGCTATGGCTCGCCAAAGGAAAACTCCTCTCACCAGGCTGGTTCTGTGCCTGGCTGAGATGATGTCCTCCTGACAGCAGCCAAAAGTAGATGCCTTGGGAAGAGTGTAAGACCTGGGCAAGCATATGTAAGGCTTTTCTTTAATGCCCTAGCAAATACCATTATTTTCAGCTCAGGAACTTCCTGAGTTGGATGTGGTTTTTCTTTAGTTAGTGGCATCTCTGTATCTTTCTTCCATGGATGTATCCAGTTTCCTCCTGAACCCATGCAGATTTTTAGCATCTGCAACACCCTTCGCCCTGGGGTCCCAATGACCTGTTGCGCGAAGAACCATCTCTTTTCATTTATTTTGAAACTGGAACCTGATTTTTGATGAAAAGAGATGACTTTTTAATCAATTATTAATTAGTCCGTTGTTTGTCTATATGAACAAAAAGTCCAAAATAAAGCAGAATATTTAAAGACACTTTACCCACTTTATTTTTCAACTAAGTAGAAAGTATTTTTGTAGTAATTTATGAATTTGAATTCTTATCTAAATCCAAGATGAGAAAATGCTCCAGAATCAAAACTTCTTGTGGGTAGAAACCAATTTTTAATACAGTTTTATACTCATAATAATGTGAACAGAAATGGCCAACTAAGGGGGTCTTTGAGAGTTCACCCAGCAATATTTGCTGAATAATTTATTGGTTGAGTTCAATTCATATTTTATGAAATGTTATTAGCTGTACAGGTTTTGCTCTGTGGGACAACATACCTGAGTTTCACAAAACTTTTTTTTTTTTTTTTTTAAACACTGTTAACATCTTTACCAATCCTCCGGTTTCTACAATTACTAATCAGGAGGAGTTGGCAGTGTTTTCTGAAGTGACCCTGTAGATTTAGAACTCCCTTCCCTAAGTGAAATGGGATCAGGACGTACTGGGAGCTGGGCTGTGATGGACAGCTGTCTCCTAGGGTTGCAGGGGGCCATAGGAGTGTTGTGGGGTTTAATATTTCAGCAAGTGTCCAAAAGTGATCACAGTTTGGGGATCCTGTGCTGCATTTTACAGGAGTAGTCAGTACTCACAGCATGAAGGAGAAATACTACCCTTCGCGAAATGCTCCGCTTGCTCTCTCAACAATATCCCCACTGATAAAGACTGCTAGCTCTTTTTTTGTATTCTTTTCATCCCATTTTTGTTTTGTAGAGGGCCTGCATAGACTTCGCCATAAGTGCCAAGCCACTGACCCGCTACATGCCTCAGAACAAGCAATCATTTCAGTACAAGATGTGGAAATTTGTGGTGTCCCCTCCCTTTGAGTATTTTATCATGGTCATGATTGCACTCAATACCATTGTCCTAATGATGAAGGTTAGTGGGCTGTTACTGAATCTTTGCAATTTCGGGCTAGCAAATGTGGTGTTTGCTGGAAGGGCTTTGTACTCTCCACCTGAGAGCTGGGGGGAATCGGCAGGAGCTACCACCGCCTCTCATTTGCCTGATGTCGTTTTTAGATGCCTTGTGGGATTCCTTCGGTCCTCAAAGGGAGATGGTTTAGCTGTGATGAGATACTGCAAATGGGATTCCCCTGCACAGCACTGGTTTGGCTCATAGCCCCTCCAGCATATGGCCAGTGAGATGTGAACTGGGCTCCGCAGGTCCTGAGCTCCCAGTTCAACCTGGGCTTCCTGCTGCAGAGCAGGGTCATTTCTTGGGGATGCTCAAAATCCAGCCATGCCAGGGAAATTACTCAAATTCGTGGCAGCATCAAGCTTCTGGGACGTGATCCACAGGGCTTAGGAGAAAGAGGTGCAGGTGGCTGGATATTGTGGGTGATCTCCCCTCCTATCCCTTGCCTAGCTTAGAGTATCTTCACATTCAAGGGGGTCACTGTATTCTTAGGGTCTGCTGGAACAAAACACAGTTCTGCACTTGTTCTCTGGTTTTGAAAATGCCTTTCCTTCCTCCTGGTCCATATTGTGCTTACAGGGAGATGTACACCAGCAAGAGTCTCCTGGTCCTGGGGTTATCCCCAGCTGCCCCATTAGAATCATGGAATTGTAGAATGCTTTGGGTTGGAAGGGACATTTAAGGGTCATCCAGTCCAACCCCTCTGCAATGAGCAGGGACGTCTTCAACTCCATCAGGTTGCTGATTGGGATAGCATGTAGGCAACGGTGTTCTGGAGTGGCATGAATAACTGTGTTGTAACCCCAAGTCTTGCTTAAAGTGAGCACAAAATCTGACACTAAAATGAGCAGGAGTCTCGCAGTCAGGCAAGCCAGCTGAGAAGGTTTTATTCTCTAAGTGATCTTTCAGTAATAGCCTTTCTTCCATCCTGGTTTAGTTCTATGATGCTCCAGAAGCATATGAAGAAATGTTGAAATGCCTGAATATTGTGTTTACATCCATGTTTTCAATGGAATGTGTGCTGAAGATCATTGCCTTTGGTGTGCTGGTATGTGCCTTCCTCATTTACTTTCAACGGTTTTCTCCCTACATGAAATGCTTGTATTTCATGATGCGCATTTAAAAACAAGCAAACAAACAAAAAAAAAAAAGTGTTGCAAAAAGAAAATAACCCCATGATCCCTCTATCCCCCTTGTGTTTTCATTTGGCAGAATTACTTCCGAGATGCCTGGAATGTCTTTGATTTTGTAACGGTGTTGGGAAGTATTACTGATATTTTAGTAACAGAGATTGCGGTAAGTACAGTTTGCTCAATTTGCTCTGTTTACTAACAAAGCTGTACCCTGTCAAGAGATTGCACCTTCTCCCTACCAGCCTTATTCCCTAGAGCTGCCTCTGGGACTCATCATGCGATGATGTCCTTGGGTGACCTAATGTCTTTGATTTTGTAACGGTGTTGGGAAGTATTACTGATATTTTAGTAACAGAGATTGCGGTAAGTACAGTTTGCTCAATTTGCTCTGTTTACTAACAAAGCTGTACCCTGTCAAGAGATTGCACCTTCTCCCTACCAGCCTTATTCCCTAGAGCTGCCTCTGGGACTCATCATGCGATGATGTCCTTGGGTGACCTGGCAGCCTGTTTCCATTAGCTCCACTCTTTCTCTTTCCACGAAGATGAGCGCAGTTCTCTGCCCCAAAGACTCTCATGCGAAAAGCTCTGATGAGAACAACAGTGCTAGTGCCTCTGCCAGGAAGCAGGCTCTCGTTCAGCAAACGACTCTAACTCTGAGCCATTTTTGCCTATTGATGGAAAAATCCTGTTGAATTTAATACAGGGAAAAATCAAAAGGATTCTGTCGAGGAGGGCTGTTTTATACTGTGAGGTGCTTTGCAGGGCACACACACACACGTCTGTCCCTTGGGGCTCCTACTCAATCTTGGTCATGGGGCAGAGGGAAGGCAATAAAGGGGACTGGGAGTGGGAGAGGTGATGGGAGCGTGGAGACAGCCAGAAACTCAGCAGCCTGCACAGCCTGGGTTGGGGGAACAGGGTGCATTTCTGTTACGTGCACAAAAGCTTTGTGGGGCAATTATTTAACTTTGCCATAGGATTTGTTGGCCAGCCCTACAATGACTGCTGTCTCCCTAACAAATCCTGTACATTACATGAAGTGTACGAAGGTGTACAAACTTGCCATTAAATTCTAGAGGATTTTTCCATAAGGGCAGCAAATGCCTGACTCAAGCCTTGACAGCCTGATATTATCCAATTTATAAATTGCTCCTCTCCACTCCCAATGCATGTTTTAGCTGATGATACTGTATCTGTGTGTGATGAATTTGAACTTTGCCATAATTTTTTTTCCTAAGTCCCTGGGATTTGCTTATAGATCTGGTTTGTGTGTGCTAAGAACTATGCTCCCCAGACTTCTTTACAGGACATTCAGCTGGTGGTGGAGACCATATTACTCTTTCTAACAAAATACATTATTTCACCTAACCTCCTTGGTACAAAAAAGCGCACAAAACCCCAAAGTTTTACTCCCTGCACAAACGGTGTTCATTTAATGGTTAGTGAATCCTATCTTGTAGACTTCAGATTACTTTTTGTTTTCAATGCACGGCTTACAGCCAGGATAAAGTTACTCAGATCAAACACGAGGTCTGACTACCACTCCTCTGAGTGCTTGGGAGATTCATTTCACTGTGGGCAGGCACTGAGTGCTCGCCTCCATTCCCTCTGTCGTGGGACACATTTTCTTGCCAGGCTCAGGCACCCAAACTTTTTGCCTTGGTTTGAAAATTTGTGAAAACGTTTGCAAGTCAGCCGCAAACAGAGACCGATGCTTCTCATCCACCCCTCCTTCGGCCACTTTTGCTGGGAGGAAGCAGCACAGCCAACTCGCACGTGGTAAGGGAGCCTGTGGTCTCTCCGAGATTGGTATCTTCTCCTTCAGGAAGGTATCTCCTTCGCAACGCCAAGCCCACCTACTTCTTGTTAAAATCCTCCTTTGTACAGCTATTTTGCAGGTAGAGAGCAGCCATCAGTGTTGCCCGTTCCCTACTTGGCAGGGTGTATGGCACCTGGGGAACTGGCTACGGACTGATCAGGTTAGGCTGCAGTATGTCACTGAACTTAAGGCGAAGCCACAGCATGCCTGGGGCTGTATATGCACCTCCCCAGGTTTTTGGAAGCATCAGCCATCCCTTGGCGCTGCTGGCCAGCTATTAGGGGTAGGAGAGTTTGTGTGTAGGCAGAGATTCTCCACCCCTCTCCTGGTCTTTGGGCTGGAGATTAAATGTGCTCCCAAATATCCGTGTGTGAGGTGGCAGGCACTGAGGTAAGAACCTTGAGGGTGCTGGGAGTGATGTCATCGCCCTTCCACTCTGCAGTAACTTCTCTGGTTTCCAACATCAAAGATAGCAGCAATTTGGGGATGCCTTTGAAAAGTAGTATGAATTACCTCTAAAAACTGTCAGTACACTCCAATAAGGTTAAGCTCCCAAGCACCTAGACACCTTTCTGTTATCCTCCCAGGGGGTAATGGAGAGGCTTTTGGTTCCTGAGTAACTACATCCATTAAGTCAGACCTCAGAGAGGACTTTCTAATGTAGTTCAACAGCTTCCCCTGGCAACGCGACTAATACAAAGCTGCTCACAAACATGTCTTTAATATAAAAGCCATATGTTCCCCAGTACAACTCCAGCCCCTGACCTCTTGGTCTTCTGTCTCAGTCCATAGACCTGTTTGAGCTCTGCTCTCTCTAAATCTTCCCTCCCTGCAGCATTTCTGTATTGCCATCACGTCTCCTTTCCACATGCTTTCCCTTGCAGACAGAGAGTGCCCAGAGGTTCCCCCCCACCTTCTTGCTAGGCTTGTTTTTCCAAACTTCTTTCATACAGCCCCTCTCAGATCTCTCTCCAGCCCGTGCCCACCTGCAGCAGCAGCAACAGCACACTCATCAGCACTGAAAGGCTTTTGTAGCCACCAGTGTACACTTCCCTAAGCCACACACATCCATCTCTTGGCCTCAGACAGGGCTGGTGGGCTGAGAATTCAAGAGCATTGTGCACAGCTTGCTGAAGAGGCGTTAGGAGCTTAGTTTGCTTAAAGGGGACAGTGATGCACAAGGGCTGGTGGGCTGAGAATTCAAGAGCATCGTGCACAGCTTGCTGAAGAGGCGTTAGGTTAAAGGGGACAGTGATGCACGGGTCTTGGAATCACTGCTTAATTATATGAGTGAGAGGTTGCAGTAGTGTGGAATCACTGCTTAATTATATGAGTGAGAGCTTGCAGTGGTGCCCCAAAGATTACATTTATAACAGAATTGTTAATGGCAGCTTTCAGGATGCCTTTCATGGAGCAGTTCATTCTGCTTCATCCAGTGGCATGCGGTGGAGGTAGTCTTGTACCAGGATCTCCACTGCCACGATGAGCCTTCCTCCCCTTCCAGTCCGGAGGATGGTCTGTGGCATGTAGGATTGAAAAGAAGCAAAAGGATCCAGCACTGTCCTCTGGTCTCATTTTGCTGGCTCTGCAATAGGTTGCAGCAGGTGTTATTCTGGTCCACAGTGCATCAGGGGAAACCCAAGGGGTCCCAAAGCTGCCTTGGGAAACACCAGGGCTATTTTGCTGCCTGGAAAGTGGCACAATGCATGTATATTCTAGAAGAGTTACACTTTAAACCACCAAGGGGTCCCAAAGCTGCCTTGGGAAACGCCAGGGCTATTTTGCTGCCTGGAAGGTGACACAATGCATGTATATCCTAGAAGAGTTACACTTTAAACTGTCTTTATAATATAGAACTTGCTATTTTTTTAAAGTGGAGTTACACCTAAGTCACTTAAATACTTCTGGCATTCAGAACCAACTAAAAGATGTAGAGAAGGGCTGAAACACCTGACGCAGTGATAGCGAGCATGCTGTTTGCAAACAGCAGGGACAAAAGTGAGGACCTTTGGGTGCCTCATTCGCGTCACTTAAATACTTCTGGCATTCAGAACAGCAGGGACCAAAGTGAGGACCTTTGGGTGCCTCATTCACAGAGCACAGATCAGGTGTACGGCCTCGAGTCTTTAATCCCACCGCCTCTACCCAACTGCTCTTTGCCCTTTGTATTTCCAGGTAAGGTAGAGTAGTAACGAAGGCTTGGGATGAGCACCCACTCTGCACAAAACGCCACAGCTAATGCTGAACCCCACTTCAACTTTCTGGCTCGGTGCGTGACCGAGGGTGCAGCAGCTCTGCACAGGGTCACGGAGCTGAGGATAACCACAGAGGAGAACAGGTCTTGTCACCACTCCGAGCCGTGTCCCCAACAGAGGATGCCCTCTTTTCCATTTGCCTTCCTCAGCTCCAGCCTCTCCTCAGCTGATGTGCAGCTGCAGGGACAGTTGGGTGGCAGCCCCCGGTTTGGTCCTTCCCTGTGCATATCACCCGTTCACACGGGAGGGTTTCTCAGGCTGAGAAGCCCGCGTGATAGCCACAACACAATCTCGATTGTCTGTCTCCACCTGTCCCTGTAACAACCACCCCTGAAGCCCTCCAGGTCCCTCAGGAGAGGAGATGCTGTCCGGGTATGACTTTTGAGACCAGGTTCACAAATAGTTGCAGGAGCACACTTTTCTCCGTGACTCTATTCTCCAGCTATAAGTGTTCTCCAAGGTAAATAAACCTGCTCCCCTGGGCAGTCTCATCTTGAGAGACTCTGCTTCCACCAGCCTTGCTGCATCGGTACTTTTAACCCACTGAAAAGTAAAGATAAAAGGAAAAGAAATGTGTTGATTAATTGCTTTATTTTAATTTTCTAGTCATGTCATATGTAATTTACTTTGTGAATGCAGTGGAATATATATATATATATTTTTTATTTCCTTAGGCAAAGAACACGTATGTCAGTTTTTTACCCCCTCAGTAATGGAGGTAAAATAGATGGCATTAAGGAGAAGGTGTCCTTGCGGCCACAGCCGGCCTCGGGAGGCCCAGTGGGTGTATGGCAAACTGACATCCATTTCTGTGCCTGGAAATATAAAAAACATACTGAGAAGTGTTTGTGAATTGTCTCCCAATTTGCATTACAAAATGAAATGCAAATAACTACTGCACTGTCTGTGTTACCTTTAGGATCTCAGAATCTGTTTTGGTTTGAAGCATTTTTTATTTATATAATTATCATAAAATAACACCCCCAAAAGCCCAACAGTTTTTTTCCCGTGAAATTTTCGGAGTTTCCTTTTTTGCTTGTCCTGATTACTCATTTTCTCTTTTGTTTCCTGTTTTGTTCTTTATTTTCCTTATCTACCTGCTGAATCACGCCATCCAATCAACATACAATGCGAAAACCATGTCTCCGTCTGTATGTTGTGCACCTGCTGCTCAAAAAAAAATAAAAATTTGTAAATAATCTTGCAAATATCCATCCATGAAAACATCACATATAGGACACGGTTGGTTTCATTGAATTTAAACAATTATTTAAATTCTCTGCTTTTATTTTCTCTCGTTTTTCTTTAATTTAATTTGTTTTGATGAGATTTCCGATTGCACTGGTGAAAAAGCCTCACTGCAGCGTGCCTCAAAACTGGCTTCTGTTCTGCATCTTCTTCCCTTTGGCTAATTGGTGACGTGAGGCAAATGCAGTTACCAATAGCCTGCTCTCTGCTGTTTGTTACACCTGACCATGATAAAGGGGAGACTGACACTTGCTTTATTTTGGTGGAAAATTGAATGAGAATAGGAGGAAAGGATGCTTCTGGATGACCTGGAGTAGAGAAGATTGGCTGGCTGGGAAACCCTTCATTTTGTAAGTGGTGGTACCAAATTCAGTTCTCAGAAACCAGTTTTGTTTTCTTTTATCATTAGATGCGTTGAGCTTTCCGCGAAGGGAAGCAGTACATTTAAGAGGGCTGCCTTACAGGTATTTTAAGCCCATGGTTTCCACTGTACTGTAAGGCAAAAAAAAAAAAAAATTGAAGTGATTACAGACTTGCTTCCCTCAAATCAAAAGAGAAGTCGCAGGAAAGCGTTGCTTTTATTCAACTTCGAAAATTCTTTGTGATACCAGCATATAGAAGCATTTTGCCACCACAGTGGACATAGTGTCCCTGGATGCAAAAGCAAATATGTCAAGTAAAATGCATGAGCCATGTTATGAACAGGGCTGAAAAGTACTGGGAACCAGATCCCACTGGGAATTTAGTGCCTGATTCCAAAGACACCTTTGGAAATATTGGCCCTTGTCCTTGAAAATTATAAATTAAGCAAAAGAGGATGAATAAAGAAAAATACAATTAAAAAAAAAATTTTCCATTCTTAATTATCTTGGCTATGGTTAATAACACAAATGAGACCATAAGCTTATAACAAATATTTGCTTGGCCACCTGACAACAGCTCTTGGATCTATGTTAACATCTGGACTTCCTGTTGCACAGTTGCTGTTAAGAAACAAATCCAAGTGAATCTTCATGACGGACTGCAAATAAGCTCCATGCATCCTTCATGGAGGGTCACAGGAGGGAGTTTTCTGCTAGGAAGCAGCAAAGAAGAAAACGATAGTGCATAAATTACAAGTTTGCCTGCTGCGATCTGAGAAGGGAATCCTCCGCGTGTGTTGTGGCGGCTGGAACCATTACAGATGTGGGAGAGGTGAGGATGTCTTTGGAGACTTCGACTTCTGCACCTCTGGCCCAGGCAGCACAGATCAGCGCTCAGGCATCAGCTGTGCATGTGAAAATAGACTGAAAAAAAGGTCAGCTTATCTTCTTCTGGCCAAATTTTGGCCTTGTTGCTGTCCGTGTTGCAGGTTAAAGATCTAAATGCTTATCCTGCAGTTTGGTAGGATTGTGGTCTCTATGGTCATACGTGTAGGTCCAGGCTCCTTCCATCACTCGGCATCCAAGGCGTCCAAGCTGGATATTTGGAGCACCAAGTTGTCCTCTGGAACTGCTTTCTTCCTTCCACTGCTGATGATGCGAGCCTACAGTGACTATCGCAGAAGAACCAAAGTTGAAAGGTAGCAGGGAACGAGGAGAGATCTGGGCATCACACACATAAAATCATTTTTCCAGTGTTCCTGGATCAGGATGAAAGGACATGATATGATATGCCTGGAATGGCACAGTCCCCAAGACACAGACAAGTGTGGCAAAAATCTTCAGCCTCTTAAAATCAACAAGGGTTTTCCCCAAGCTTCAGAGGAAGCCAAGACCCTCTGCAAGATTCAGGAACTCTTCTTCAGTACTATCAATGGCATGGACATTTAAGTAAGAACACAACCATTTCCTTGACAGCAGCTCCTTAGCAGCATGGGTGAGTTGTTGTTGATGCCAGATGAAGAGAACTGCCAAAGCTTCCTGAGTGATCCCATTCTTGGCTTGGTTGGATTCCTCTTCCCATGGCTCTTTGCAACTTTGGGTGAGCCCTTCATTTTGAGGACAGAAATCTGAAGTTTCAAGTCTGGGGGTTGTTGTGTTCTGCAACTGGGCTGCAGGAAGAAGCAGGGATGAGCAGCAGAACTTCTGCTGGATTTATTGCTTTGTGGCAGTGTAACGTAACCTCCTTCACGAAATCCTGCAGAACACGTCCAGCCATGGTGTAAAAACTTCATATTCCCACCGCAGGTTTAAAAATCCAAGACACTAAATCCACTGAGCTGGTGCTTTGCCACTGGTGTACAGAATGGAGCTCATTCTGCATCCCTGCGGACAGTGGGCACCGCTCCTGTGTTGGGGAGGAAACCACTCTGGTGCTGAAGGTGCTGGCAGAACAGATCCAGGCAATGGCTGTGTGCCCTATTCGTGGCTTTTCTGCTTTTTGGTATGGAAAACACCCTCCGAAAGGGTGAAAGAGCAGGCTGCCCATGGTGGGACAGCAACAAAGGCCAGCTCTTTATCCACAATATCTGTTCTCCCTGGTTCCCTCCTGCTTTGCACTTTGCTCCAGGGATGCATCGCTTGGTCAAGCTTCAGTCACGCTCCTGTCGTGGGAAGCAGTGGCTGTGCCTGGCTGTGCCCAGACCCCCGGGGTCTGACGAGCAGCTGGGTCCTGTTGGTACCAGATCACCCTCTTTTAGGAAAACAGTGACAGGCCAGAGGGAAACATTTTTCAAACATCGTTTGCTAGTCCTCAGGTGGATCATAAAATCATAAATCTACGGTGCCTCTTGTGAGCACCGGTCAGCCTTTAGCATCTGTGCAACAGAAAAGCAAACAAAATCCTGGAAAGAAAGACTTTGATAACCCAGAAGACGATATGTGTGTCATGTTACAGAGGTGGCTAAGTGGGAAGAGAATTGATGCAAACCACTGTTATACAGAAATATCGCAATGTGGAGTTTCCCCTTTAACTGCATGCAATTCTAATACCTGCCTGGACAGTTGAGGTGTCGAAGGATGGGTTTTCTACGCAGTGTGCTGAGGGTTACACACGCAGAACCCTTCCATCCATCACGAGCGTGTGTAATTTTTCCTCCCTACGAACAGCGCAGAGAACGGTCCTTCGAACGGTCTGCGAATGTTGGTGACGGTGGATTTTCCTGGGTTGCGAGTGATTCCCCGTGGAGCTGAGGCTTTTGCTGCACTTTAGGAAATGGCAGTGCATGAGTCAAGCAAGGAGGGTTTGGAGCTGGGGGCGGAGGGGGGGGAAAGGTTATGGACTATTTGTCCTCCAAATCCCAGGGAGTGGGGGGTTATAGACATAACTGCACAGCTTTGAGCCCCCCGTTTCCTAGCGCATGTGTACAGACTATCCTGTATAAAGCACCACGCAGCAGAGGGATAGCCTGTGCTGACCGACCTCGCAGTCAGCCCAGACCAAAGCAGACGTTAACATCACGTCAGCTGCGATTATGAGATTATAGCAAAGTCTGAGTAAAACAATGTTCTTGCTGTTAAGCTGCAGTAAGGTGGGAAGAGGGAGGTAAGGGAGGTTCATACGTGGAGAGATGGATCCTGCAGATGCTGCCTGTGCTCCTTGGAGGAGCATTCGGCTTGTGCACGGGAAAGAGCCGGCTTAAGCGTTGCTCTGAAGGTCGTCATTTGTCAGACTTGCAGGCCTGATGCCCAAGTGCCATGAATATTAAACATAAGGATCCAGTTCCTGCTGGTGGGGAGACTTTTTGTGATTAAAATGGGCTCTGGGTTAAACCCTTGCCCTGTGCTGAAAGCCGCCGCAGGTGCTCTGCGGAGGTGTATCGCCCCGCACCGCAGCCAGCGCAGCGGGAACAGCTTACTAAGGACCAGCTTAGCGGGGGCACCCGGTTCTCCAGCTGTGGTCTGGCTCTGCCCTCTGGATCTTATACAGCCCTTACCTGCTAAGGGGAATTCAGACAGTATTTTGTGAAGGGAATGTAAACGATGTGAAAAATAAAACAGAAGCTGATGCTAAGGGACAAGCGTTGAATTTTTAGTGCCTGTTTTACTGACCTTGAACAACCCAGGGGAATCCTCGCTTGTGTTTTGCCTGCTAGAGCTGATTTCTGTTGCTGACTTGAATGAGCTCAGTGTTGTCTGCTCTTTCATTGAACATACCTGTGCTTTTCTCTTTTCTCTTTATTTGAGGACTGAGTCTGATATACGGTCTGTGCCTAACTCTGAGCTGCTTGCATTTTTAACATGAGAGAAACCAAGTGCATGCCTGAGACTGATTTCTTGAACTCTTTGATGGGATTGGTGGAATGCGATGCTAATGGCCCCAAAACTGAGCTGGCATTTAAATAAATGAATAGATCCAACAAGCCCCCCCAAATTCAGCATGAGCTCTGAAGCCAAATGAGCAAGAAATGTGGGTCAGTTCAATGTGAATGGGTGTCTTCTGGTAAAACAATAATGCAAGGGAAAGACTATTTTTGCTCATCTTTACCAACAAGAGCTCCTTACGATGATATTTTCCACTCCGCTGCTTGATAAAGTGGGATGCTTTCTCTCTTTAGCTAACTCAGTCAAATAAGTGGCTGTGAACAGAGATTCACAAATAAGTGAATTGGAACCAGTACGGAAAGGGGGAATGTTTTTCATCTCCTTAAAATAGGAGGGCAAGAGGGATCTGGCTTTTGCATGTTTTGTTTTGGAAAGAACCCTCTCTAGATTAGCTCATTGGGGCAAGAAACCTCTTTTCCCTGAAGGAAAGAAAAAAACGGAGTGTGGGGTGGGGAGAATCGTACAAAACAAATGGAAATCGGAATCTGTTTCTAGCAGTTCTTCAATCCACCTACAAAGGCACATTTAATAATAACTTAAAAAATCAGCAGGTTCCTAAGGTACCCTCCTGCTGGTGAACACTCAACCTCCCCAATTGATTTGCTGTCATTGATCCATCTTCCAAACAGTCTTGCTGGTGCCATTTCTCCTTGATAAGCCTGTCCAGTCTCATGTCGTACAAACATTTAAAATCTCCAGGTTAGAAAACATCCTCATTCTTTCAAGGATGTTTTAATCTTCACTGGACAATGCCTTTCTTTGTTATGGTAGCAGCTGTATACACAGTCCCTTACAACTGTCTTGGCTAAAGTTCAATTCTTTGTAGAAAGTGAGCTGACCAAGACTTCAAAGCATCACCATTCTTGACAAAATGATAATACGGCACCATTACCTCTCCCTGAGTGTTTAGGGGGAGAAAATCTACTCAAAGAAAACAAGACCTCCATGGACAGCGTGAAGGGGCCTTTTCCTTTTCTATCATTGACCCAGTAGCAGAGGGGAGGGCTCTTGTGGAGAGGGATTTTCTCATACTTGCTGCATGTGGAGTGATCTGCACTGACGAATGTTTCTTTTGGAAGGTTTTCTGGTGGCCGATTTGCTGCTTAGATCGTGAAGCTGGTAATTTTAATTTCTTTTTTGCGGGCTGTGGTTTCTAATCGCGTTAATTTCTGAAGGACACAAAACCTTTACTTTCCACAGGACAACTTCATCAACCTCAGCTTCCTGCGGCTCTTCAGGGCAGCAAGACTCATCAAGCTCCTTCGCCAGGGTTACACTATCCGCATCTTGCTCTGGACATTTGTGCAGTCTTTTAAGGTGAGTGTTAGGCAGGGTGGGAGGCAGGGAAGAGATGCAGGGAGACGGTAATGCTCAGCACGTCTGTAGCATCCTCCACTGAGTATCAAAGAGCTTCCCCTTGCCAAGGGGACGGCCTCTCTGCACCTCTACAAAGCAATTACAGGAATACTAATTCTGCAGAAAAAAGCGTAACTGTTTTGCACTGAATATCCCCTGAACACTACAGGTGCTGAGCATTTTGGAAGATGCGTCTGAAAGCCAGACGGCTACTGATGCAGACTCACAGCAAGTGTGCAAAGCTCAGGTTGCCCTTGAAACTACCACAAAATCCCTACGGCAAAGTTCTGAGACTTGGGTATTCGCATAAGGAAACGGCAGTCTGACTAATAAGTGCCTTCATGCCTGCTGTTTGCCTGCAGCAAGTTCAAAAAGGTTCAATTGCTTTCACCAGGTTTCAGTCTTGGTAGAATGTGATAGAGGTGAAACCCAAACCGTGCATTTTGGCAAGATAAACTGCGAAGCTGTATAACACAGGGCTGCGTTTTTACGACATGGAGGATTACAAAAAGGAGGTTTTGTTTGAAAGGCGAGATAGTTGCTTTGCCTGGTTTCCTTTGCCCCTGCCCTTCCCTCCCAGCAAGCCTCAGCATCTCGTGGTAGCCGGTACATAGTGGCGCAGGAGCAGCTGGCCACGGCAGCTGGATATGGCACTTCTGACCTAAGTGACCCTCAAACAACTCCCTTACAGCAGCTTAGTTCTCAACTTGTGCTTAACTTCGAGTTAGCTGTTTTCCAGACCTAAATAAGAGCCCACATGACTCAAAACTGGTTATTTTTAACAGCTCTCAGCCGGTTTGTGCCCATTTCTACAGCTTGTTGTGTTTTAATGCTGGTTATGGGGCATGCTCTGCATGTTCTGCAGGGCAGAGAGGGGAACATTTCATCTGAAATCAGGATTTTTAGCTCTAACGCACTAGTGTTTATCGACTGGGCAGCTGCAGGGTGCAGACCCCCAGTCCCATCACACACGGACCTTCTCCCGGAAAGCACTTGACCTCCCTCGCTCTGGAGATCTCGTAGGACTTTCAGGGAAATACAAAGCAGAGGTGATGCAGGAAAGCAAAGCATGATGAGGTCAGGAGGTGCCCGAAGATGAATCTGTTCACTGACTCATAGCCGCAGCCAGCAAACTTCATCTCCCGCTTGCTGTCGGGGTGCGATGCTCCCCAGCACCACCCGTGCACGTGGTGGGTGGCCCAGTGAGCCTGGGGACTGTACCTTGGGCTTTGCACAGGGTCTTGCCTTCTTCTGGGCCAAACTCTGAGGTCTTCAGGTGATAGCTTATGTCCTGGGTGCTGTCGCAAGCTCAGGGAACTTGTCTGCGGGTCGGTGAGATGTCAGGGTATTTTGCCTCGTGCTTTCTGGAAGGCGTTATGGTGGCAACTGGTATTTAACAGCGCAGAGCATGGTGGGATGCAGAGCAACGAGTTTCTTTTGCTTTGGCTGTGCTTTCAAACACATCATGGTATCTTAGACAAAACGATGTAGAGAGGTTATTGTAGATGGTAAAACCGTGGGAGGAGTGTCCTGTCTCCAAAAATGGAAAAGACTTGTTAAGAGAAGAAAGACATTTCTCTCCTGTGGTTGCAGAGAGATGCCGGGCGGCTCTGCCCACAGCAGGCTGGGAGTGCTGGCCAGCCCCGTGCCAGCAGTGAAAGAACCAGGATGGAGAACTGGTTTCAGCAGAGCGTGAACGTGGCTATTGCTCTGCACCGGAGCTGTTCGAGAGGGAAGTTTCTGTTAGACCTTTTAGACTACAGAGGCGAAACCTCTTTGGAGGGTGGAGATGGGAACATAGCAATTGCTTCTTTCTACAGGCAACCTGGAGAAGAACTGCAGGCATCCGTGCTGTTATCCCATGGCCGGGGAGGGAGTGAGTGTTGTATTACACTGTACGTCCCTTTGGGAGACACCAGACAGGCAGCTGGTGCTCTTGCATTCAACTTCTGTGTTATGCTTTCACCCAACCATCAAGCAGCTTAATGGAAAGGGCCTGCGATTTGAGGGGGTTGCAGTGCCTTAAATTTGTTAGGTTGTGTTTTCCTTGAGGGTGGATGGAGGTGGTGTTGCTCCTGCTCTCACCTTGTAACTCATGAGGAATCCTGCAGCCAGGAGAGCCTCTACCAGAGGCCGAGACGTGGGGTCTGCAGGCATGAGATATTCCCACTCAAGAGAGTGTCCTTGGACTCTGCATAGTCTTGGCTGGATCCTGGGAGAGGGGCTCAGCCAAGGCCCTTTTCAGTGTAATCCCGACCCTTTCCCGTGTGTGTGCAGAGTGCTGCCCTGGCAGTGGAGCTGGGACGGTTCCCGGGCTGCACGGGGAGCTGCTGGTTGGTCTTTCCCCCCAGCGCTGAAGCTCTCAGTCCTTGTCCTCTGTCCCTTGTGTCCAGCAGAAACCATGTCAGCCCTTTGCCCCATGTTTCCTCCTGGGCTCCCCATGGGCTGCATAACCCCTCTTCTGCCCTGAGCATCGCACGGTCTACCCCTAAGGCGAGACTTCTCATTTTTTCACCTATCACTAATTAAGAGGCATTAATTACCCATTCGTTTAGCCTGAGTGGAAAGTAGCTATTCCTCTCAGCTTGGGTGACATAATTACATTGTAGCCTTCACTGATTTCTTGCTAAAACTCAGAATGTTTTTGTTCTCCTGGGTTTGCAATCTGTGCCTGTTTCAGAGCAGGAACTTGTTTCTTGGATGTATAGTTTTTTTCTCATACTAAATTTACAGCAAGGTCATTAAAAATTAGTGTTTCCACAATTATGCATAGAAAGTGCCAGTGCCTGCCAGTAGCTCCAGTGCTTGCTGTGGAGCTTCTTACTGTGTTTTCCCTGCTCACCGCTTACCTGCTTGCAAGGATGTATAGAGAGCCCTCGGAAAGCCCAGACTGTTTTGTGATCGATGAATACCTGGCTCCAGAGATTTGTCTTCTGAAGGCTACCAGAATTGTTCATATTCTCTTCCCAGTTCCTTCATCTGAAGGACAAATACCACAAAACACGGTGCTGCCCAGGTATTAAATGCTACCGGCTGATGTATGCATTTACTGTCGTTAATGCTGCCTTCTCCTTTCCCACAGGCCTTGCCTTATGTGTGCCTCCTCATTGCAATGCTCTTCTTCATCTATGCCATTATTGGCATGCAGGTAAAAATTTTGGCTTTAATACTGACCGTAAGTAGCCTGGTTTTGTCCCACTGGTTCAGGTTGCAAACGGGTTATTGCCTCTGCAGCAGGATCAACAACTGACTTGGGATGAGGCGAAAGGCTCTTCTTGTCCGGTGTCAGGTAAATTAGAAGTGCAAAAAAAAGGCGACTTTTTCTACCCTTATTGCCAGGTCTTGGGTTGAACACGGCCCTGGGTGCACAAAGGGAGAGAGCGGGCAGACAAACCGGCTGAGAGGACGACCCTGCAGCAGAGCATCTCTAGGGTGGAGGTGGCAGCCGTGTCTCCTGTGGGCAGGGCACATCCCTTCCTCTGGGTACAGGCACATCATGAGGCCGAGAGCTGGGAGCAGCTCAGGCACTGCACCTTTCTGAAAAGATATAAGAAAGTTTTCTTGACCTGGATGGAGCTGGACTGTGGTGTTGGAAAGGGTCTGTGTGAAGATGAAGCACATTAACCTTGTTTATTTCCCCCATTTGATCTCCACAACACATTTTTATCTCCCTCTTCAGCACGGAAATTATTCTAGTTTCTGAGATCTCTTAAACCAGGACAAATAACTTTCCTGCCTTTTCTTCCAACTCTGCTTGATCCACCTTTATTGACAATGTCCACGTGAGGACGTGTCTGGCCTGAATCACTTCTGTTTTCCATGGCAGGTATTTGGAAACATTGCGCTAGATGATGAAACATCCATTAATCGGCACAATAACTTCCGTACCTTCCTCCAAGCCCTGATGCTTCTATTCAGGTAAGTGGAGTACAAAATACCATACGACTTGCATGTGGACACTAAATAAGTCTTTGTTTTATGCCAGTTTAGCTGCTGAGACTTAGGCACCCTGTAAGAAAGGTATTTGGAGTAAAGCATCCGTTCCCGCTTCCTCCTCCTCAGCGTTAAGGGTTGGCCTGGCACATCTCCGAATATGAGAGATCTGATTCAGCACAAAGTGACACCCAGCACCGGGATACCCTGCATCAACTCAGGCAGAAGCTTAATATAAGACTGAACCCCTCTGGTTTACCTGATCGATGTGCTTCCTGTCATGAAGCTTACTTTTTTTTAAAATGAGAATTCCTTTAATTGGTCATTTTTGTATTACCAACAAGTTAATGCTTCATACATCAATGGCACCTCTGCTTCAGACTGAAAGAGTTCCCATCTGGGTTCATTCTGCCTGAAAATGAAGCATTTTCAAATGAAAAAAAAAAACAAAGAAATGACAGATTTTCATTTTCAGACCTGGCAAAAATGAAGGGCAGGCCCTGCTCCAAATCGGGGCAACTTGGGGAAGATGTCACTTATCCAGATGTGTGCCATGTAGTGTGGGGACCCAGAGATTAATAACTGCTCTGGCCCTACAAGCGCCTGCCAGCCGCACCGAGGCTCGGTTCTGTGGATTACGTGGTGCTTGTAACTGGATATCTTGCCTGGGATTTGGTTTGCATAGTTTCTGTGAAGTCAGACAGAAATGAAATTAGTCCTCCCTAGCTCAGAATAATCACTCGACTCAAATCCCTGAATTTTAATAAAACTGGGCAATTATTCAATCTCATGTCCAGACCTCTTGGTCCCTTTCCAGACCAGCCGCGGTGGGACAGAGAGGGCAGAATCAGCAGGACCGTGATGGGGGAGTGGGTTTGTGCGCCAGGGAATGAGGCTTCAGTGTCACCAATGCGTCAATCTGCTGTGTAATTCACAGTAGCCTGGAAGCAATTTCAGCTTACATTGAGCATTGAGTTTTCTCAAAGACCCTGGTCTCTGGAAGGTTTGTGAGCTGGCTCTGTGTACAAATTAGCACGGCTGGGAACAACACTGTAACAAGAGGGGCTGTTTGTGGCGCTGCTGAGGGATGCCCCTAAGAGCATCTCTGAGTGTGGTGCAGAAATTACAGAGGGAAAATCTGAGGTTATGTAGGAAGTCAGAGTAAGCAAACATGGGGATCCCTCTACTTCTGATCCATGCGTTGCAGAAAGTGGTTTATTTTGAGGACAGACCCTCTGGGACTCCACGGTTTTCCCTTTAGGCTATTTTTTTCTCCCTATGGTAGAAGTTAGAGGGGGAGGAAGAAAATTACGAAGAAAACCCAGGAGACTGTCTGGAAAAAGGGACTCAAGTCACTATGACCCATCAGACCATCCTGATATTTTTGTATCCACCTGATAAAGGGAACAAGAGATTCAAGTGGAGAAGCCTGGTTTCATTTCCCATCTTCTCCATTGGGTTTACAGCCAGCAGTAGGACAGAAATGTAGTTGCTTCAAAAGGGAACAATCTAAACTTTGTTTACTTATATTTGCACTTTGCACTGGACATGTTTAAATCAATCTGCTTTTATTCTCCGTAAAATCAATAAAGCTTAGCCTACCTCAGCTTCTTCGGTTTCTTTTACCGCTTCCCATAATTGAAGGAAACATTCTTTCTCCTTTCTTTTTCATGTCAGCAGGCTGGTAGTTCAAATTCGTAATATAAATACAATCTCTCCACCTGGACACAACCTTCTACCTAATTAACTTAGTTAATTGGGCCCAGTAATACCACAAGGTGGATGTCCCCCTGGGTCCGTAGTGGGGAGGGGGATGGATAAGCTCACCCTCTGCCCTCCCCATCTGCAGGAGTGCCACGGGGGAAGCCTGGCACGAGATCATGCTGTCGTGCTTGAGTAACAGAGCCTGTGACCCGCTCTCCGGCCTCACCAAAAATGAATGTGGCAGTGATTTTGCCTATTTCTACTTCGTGTCGTTCATCTTCCTGTGCTCCTTCCTGGTAAGTCAGTCCCAATCTCTCCCAAAGTGGAGGTACTGGTGTGGTTTCCCCAGCCTTCCCTCTCCATCCCCATCCCCTTGCTGCCTTCTTCTCCCTAATTACGATTTATACAACATTACAAAACCGCTTCACTAAAAACCGTTTATCATCCTAGTGATAAAATCCCTTTAATCCCCAAAGAGATCATTTAGTCATTAGTTTAAAGGGAAGGTTTTTATCTTTCTTCTCACAGGGGGGTCTAATAGTTGGAATTAAGCATTAATCGGTTTTGTCTTGATTTGTGACATGGTCCTTTGAAGAAGGGGATTAGGGAGGGCAGGACAAGAATGGCCAAGATAATATTGGTTCAGAAGTGCTTGCAGCAGGCAGCTGGGAGCGTCACACTTATGTGATGCCTTGTGTTTTGTTTTGTTTGTCAAATAAATGCAATGATCATTTTCTTCTGCAACGATGCCAGGAAAGCTTTAGACATGAAAGTACACAGAGCTGTTGTACTTGATTCGTGCCCGTGGCCACCATCATACAGGGCTGGGTCTAAGCTTTAATAGGTGTCAGTGTCTTTCTGATCACTGGCACGCATAAAAAACTCTCTGCTCTTGGGGCTTGGTTCACTTGCCTGCACCACTGGGACAGAGGAATGGAAAACCGGAGACAGGGACCCAATTAAACTTCAAGCAGGAAGAGATGAAAGTCGCAGCTCTGAAATGTACCAAAAAGCAACGGATCAAGCCTACGTTCTGTTCCACGGGTTTGCTTGAAAATCTAAGGTTTGATGCTTTGTGCAGCTAATCCCTGATATCATCAGAAACCTTTAACCAGGAAAAAGAGGTACACGTGGCAGTTTGATGCTGGGTATAGATAGGGCAACTTCAACAGCCCCTACTGAGATCCTTTGTCCGACTGCTGTTGCCCCTTTGACATCCCATGGTTTATTTCTTCTGCATATATTAAAAAACATGGAGCCCTGAAAGCTTATATGAAGTTAAGACTCCATTTACTGATTCCTTCACCACTCTGTATTGTAAAGTGAAATTTTTTCCTTGTACAAATCCCTAACCCAACATGAGACATTCTCATTGTTATTTTCAAGTGCATTATTGTTCCTAAAGCTTTTTTTTTAAAAAACCCAAACAACTCTCTCCCCCAGACTCACCCTCCCTGGCTCATATCAGCCGTCCCACTCAAAATGTAGTAGCAGAATCAGAGATTGGAGCACATCTGTGCAAAATACAGCTTGGCGTGAGCTTTGTCGCTGAGTCAGCGCTCCTGGAAAACCCCATGGAACCGCACCCTGGGCTTGCTGGCAAAGAGAGGGGCGAGCCCTCACAAAGAGCAAAGGCAGGGAGGGCAGGCTCCAAAAATAGGCAGGGAAAAGCCAAGCAGCTTGACTGCTATGGGACAGGGCCGTAACTCATTTCTTAAAATGCGTTCAGCACTTCATTGCAATGAAACATGTGGTTCCCCCCAAGCGATTAAAGCATTACAGAGCCACAGCCTTGCTAGGAGGGCACATGTTTATCGTTTGTTCGACGTTGTTACACCACAGATTGGGAGGGGAATTGCATAATGTATTTGTTTTTAAATTTTGTTTCTGGCTCTTCGTGGATGTCCAGCTTGATGTGATTTTCCTCCTGTAATTTACACTGTTGAAAAATAGAAATAGAAATTTAAAAATATAGAGGAATTTTAGAAAGAGCTGTATGCAAGCGAGGGAAAATTGTACTGAGCCATGACTGGAGCTGGGAGCTGGGATCAAGAGGCAAACTCTCCAAATTTTTGCTGCCTGTTGATGCTCTGGGGGTACTGTGTTATGTGTGGGGTACCTGCAGCACGTGAATGAGCCCTGCTGATGTGGTTATAGTGCTTGCAGCCTTCGAGCAACTTGTTGGGAGCTGGTTTGGACATCCCTGTCCAGTACTTCATGGTGCACCGCAATGAGATCCTAGGGCTTGTCTAGGCTGTGTTGCACAGAGACCCTGCGAGCATCCAGGAACTGGGGTGGCACGAATTACTGACTTAGTTCCCCAAACTCAGCAGAGTTGTTTGATGTGTTGCGTTCAAGCTGACAAGCACTAACACTCAACCCAGGAGTAAATTCACGCACGTTGCTGCAGAGGCAGAAGCCTTGTTTGCAGTGAGGCAGTAGCAGGGCTGGTGTGTGCTCAGCTCTCTGCTCTACAGCTTGGCCTGAAGAAGACCTCGGGTGGTGTAAGGCACCCAGTGCCCTCGTGTAGGACATGGAATCATTGGGGGCTGAGTTCTGCTCCTGGCTTTCTGTTGGGATGGGTTCTAAAATAATAGATGGACTAAAGGTCTGGGAAGTCCCTGATTAGCATTTGGTGGTGATACAGTGATTCATTAGGGACTGTGCTTGTCTGTACTGGTGGATCGTGTGTCCCAGCAAGAGCCAAGACCCCCTTCTCCCTCCCGATCATACAGAAATATGAATTCTTTAAAACTGCACAAACCCCAAACTCCGCTGCCTGATTTTCTTTCAACGATCGGCAGACCAGCTGAGATTATCCATATTCAATTTAATTCTGCTCATCCCCGCGCAAGAGCTCACAGGCTGCTTCGCCGCGGTCCGCCTTGCTCAGCGTGGTGCAGAGGAGCAGCGCTCACGGCAGTGGCTCAGCCTCCCTACAGAAGGCACGACGAAGGCAGAAAGGGGCCTTGTTGTCAGTCAGGTCTTTATCCAGCACAGGAGCATCCATTCCTGCCTGCCCTCCTGCTCTTCCATTCTGCTAGCTGCAGCTTGATCTTTTCCCATTGAAATCCTCATGACTCTTCCGTTGGCTTTAATAAGAGAAGAATCTTTATATGCCAGAAACATTTGCCAGGTTCTGTGTTAGAGAGCAGCCATTAGGGACGGAAGCCTTTTGTGCATCCTGCCCCTCATCTTTCTGGGGATCTTTGAAGGTTTGAATTGTTACGAGTCTAAAATAGGACATTCAGGCTGAAGAACGGGTTTTCTTCTAGCTGTTCTTGTCTTGATGTGCCTCGATATGAAAGTGCTGGAAGAATTCTCATCACCCGGTTGGTGAAGCAGGCGCTGCAGCCCGTGTGCTGGTCTGTGCTGGTGTAGGGTGAGGAAGGGGCAGGGGAGAGGTGCTGAGCTGGTCGGGCTCTGGGATGGGTCATGCTGCAGGGCATCACCGGTGATGGGGACGTGGCCAAACTGTCCACGGTCAAAAGCCATGGCAAACCTGCCGCGTACTGCAGAACCTGGGACCCCAGGGACCCAGGGCTAAGGTTGTAGAGCTTGTTCTCCAGGGTGCTGCTGCTTCTTGTAGAAACCACACACCCTGATAAGGGAATCATACCTCCTCTCCTTCCAGTTTTTTTTTCCTTTGTCTTTTCCTTTGTTTCTCTTGTTCTTTCCTCTCCTCTCTTTCCTTTCTCTTTCTTCCCCACCCCCCCCTTTTCCTTCCCCTCTCTCTTTTCCTTCCTCTTTCTCCTTTCTCTTTCTAACTGCATTATTCCTTCCTCTCTGCAGATGTTAAACCTCTTTGTGGCTGTGATCATGGACAATTTTGAATACCTGACAAGAGACTCCTCCATCCTTGGGCCCCATCATTTGGATGAGTTTGTTCGTGTCTGGGCTGAATATGACCCAGCTGCCTGGTATGTACGCTGTTACACCTTTGTGTGGAGAAAAGGATAGACATTGTGTATAAATACCATACCTATATGCACAAACAGCCTATTTTAATGTGAGTAAAGCTCCAGAAGGAAAAAGACTCCAAAGCTTGAGGTAACGGTGGTGGTAAATGCTCCGAGTTCAATTCACTATGCACTGGAGAAGAACAAACCTGATGTCATTACAAGGGCATTTCCTTCAAATAGAAATGACGGACGTAAACCAACAAATCAAGAAAGCAAAACGCACCCTCCCTCCCCACACACTCATGGCCAAAAATTAATAGCGTAAATTCAAATGAATTTGGCTAAATGGCCAAGTAGAAAAGCCGTTCAGCATTTCCAAAAGGAGCTTTGATTGCCTTTGGTTTCTGCATCCCAGTTTGGAGATAAAAATAAATTGAATCTCTTGCCATTGGCAGCGATTTAGGTAACTTAGGGGCAAGGCCTTGTTATACCTCGTTTGAGCAGCATTTCGCTTCTTGTTGAGAACCTTAATGATTTCACAAATCCTGCACAGAGACCTGAGGCTACACCAAAAAATTTCAAGTTTCCAAGGTGCTATCTCTCCCTTAAAAGGAGACGATGTACCCCACTGCTTTGCGTCTGAGCCAAGTGCTACAGGCTCAGACTTCACCCTTTGCTTTCGCCCACCTGTGCGGCAGCAGGGAGTGACATGATGCTTCTCAGCCTAAGGGTGGTTTGCTGAAAACATGTGATTTTTAAACAGACATTTCTCATCAAACCCAATGGTTTGGTCATGGAAGCCTCCTTCTAATGACATCAAACTGTAGAAGGGAATTTTGTTCTTCTAAATAATATTTTAGCTTTTGGACTTGCAGTTGAAAGGTAAGATGTGCGAAATAAGAAGAAAATGCAATAAACCTAACTTAGGAAACATTTCAGTTCTCAGTGAGCCTCTGATAAAATGTTCCTGATATATGAGTGTGTTAAAGGAGGAAACGGTTTGCTTAGAGCCAAATGGTGAGGTGCCTGGTTTTATGGCTTTTATCTCTTTGTTTTTCTTATTCAAAGACAGTCACAGGGAAAGCTGCACACCAGGGCTAAAGTACCGCGGCGGCAGAGCACTGGCACTGTGCTGTCGCAGAGCCAAGAACCGCTGCTGAAGCATTTAATGGATTTATTTTTTTTTAAATGAGAGAATGGTTCTGTCCAGTGATCATTTCTAGAGCAAGACTGACTTTAAAATATTGCTTTTGTCCATTGCCCTGAGAAAGCTACTGCACAACAGTCCTGGTGACTCTGTTGTTTTCATTTCTACATGCCCTGAGATACAGGTCACAGTAATTTCCTTGATATTCTACAGCTTGGGAATTTGCCTGTTGGGAGACATTTTTTTATTTAAAGCCATACTAATTTTGTATCAATTTTCCTCCCCATGAGTTACTCTGCAATGAATCTCCTCTATATTTGTAATGGAGCTGCCTCCAGCTTCTTCTCCTGCTTTCCACTCTTTTTTGTTTCCCTTCAGTACAGACAGATGCAGAAAGCGTTTGTATAATCAGCATCTCAAACTCCCTGCTAGGATGCAATTTAAGCTGCTTTAAAATCTCAGTTAAATTGATTTAGGCTAACTTTAAATGTAAACCTATTCTGAAATGACTGTATTTCTCTGAACTGTGTGTGATTTTAACTAGCTCAAAGCCATCCATACTACGAGCCTGCATATATACGGCACACATACCACCAGCTTGTAATCTCCAAGCAGATTTTCGTTACCACATGCTCTGTAACACAGACGAGTCCTTTGTGGGTATTTGGCAGTCAGTAAATAGCTCTTTTTCCTTTTTCAAATCCAGTCTTACCTCTTACCACTAGAAAAATCTCAATGAGACTAAAAACTTGGGAGTGCCCGTTCTCTCCTTAAAAAATAGTCTTGGCTCTGATTAGCATCCATAGGAGGAGTAGCACACTTGCAAGGGAAAAAATTAGTATCAACGTGCTTTATTTAATGTTTTTGTGCTCAGGAACTTTCCACCCATAAGAGGCACAAGCATGAAGTTTACAGAAAGATTTGCTCGCTCTATTAACTCTAAGCACAGAGGTTACATTTGTGAGTCACGCAGGAACCAAACCTTTTCACTTCTAGAGCTGTTAATACAGAATATGTCATGTATTAAGATCTTAATTCAGTTTTTCTCTGACCTTGTTCCTGTTTTCCTGTGGTGTGAAGATATTGATGTTGGCAGAGTGACCAGGGCAGAAATGCGAATCAAAGGACAGCCAAGACATGATGTTCGAGGCTTGATCCTAAAACATGTGCATGTTCTGGATTTTCCATGTGTGAATAGTTCCACTGAAATTAGTTATGTTTTTGTAAGTGGGACTAACATTTCTGAAATGTAAAAGTAGTCTGAAATCCATTCACAGTTTAAGGCCAGAACAGATTTTTTGATCATTTGGGCTGAACTTCTGTGAAGCTCTGGACATGGTATTTCACAATAACTATCCGTGGACTGAGCTTAATCGCTTGTCTTTTAAGGTGTAGCTCCCTGTTTTGATCTGAAGACACAGGGCTTTAGAGGACCCTTTTTTTTTATTCAGCTGTTTGTTCCACTAGTTGGTCAAACTCATTGAAAGAAAACGTTGATCCAATTTTTGTTTTCCATGCCAACCGTCTCCTTTTAGCATTTCAGCTCCCAGTATAGACATGTGGAGGGGAATGGTAAATAATCACCATAGCATAATTTGCAAAAAAGAAGACTAGCAGGCACTGTTATCTTATGCTTAGATGCAGGTGAGCTGGTTCCTCCTTCCATCTGTCACTCATTGATCGCCTCTCTCAAGGTCTCTGCTTTGACTGTCCCAAGGAAAAGGGAATTACAGTGTTTATCCTTTTTCCGTAGCTTGAGACCCTCAATGAAAGATGCTGCATGCGTAAAAAGTACAAGTACTGTTATACTTTTATTATATAAATAATATTTTAAACATAAGCTTAATGTGTATGTATTTACATACCTATTTCCATCAACACCTTTGTTTTTGTTACAAAATCCAACTTTCTGTAAACCTTTCTGGGGAAAAACATTCAAAAGCAAGTAAAAAAAAGCAGTTAGCAGCTGTTGTTCCAGATGTGTGTCACACTCAGGAGGGGTAAGTATGGGGAAACTGTTGGATTTAGGGGTGGCAGAAGCCTCGGGCTCACAGAAAAAGAGAGAGCGAGAGAAATGGGGTGCACACAGCGGTTTGGTCTGGGGCTGGGATTTAATCAGGAAAGGAGTGAAAATACTGAATTTAAGGATGAACTGGGAAAGAAAAGAAAATTGGATCTCTATGAGCTTTTATTTATTCAAGATATATAAAGCTTTATCTCTCTTATACCCCCCCTCCCAATGCATACCCCTTAGAGATACTGGAAATGTTGGTCTTGCCATCGCGTTCCCATTAGTTGTTCCCAAGAGCTGAGGAGGATGCTACTGGCAGCACCTTCAGCAGGTGGGAGGAGGTGCAGGTGCTCCCAAAGGAGGGCTTTTTCTTAGCTATCTGAGATAAAGAGACGCTGATGAAAATAAACAAAACTCAAATAGATTTAAACAACTTGGGAAAGAATCTCTGTTTGTCATAATTTGTCATAATTTGTCACCATGGCCTTCCGATGCAATATATCTGCTGGTTTTCAAGCCTTCCACGGGCTCTCAGAGAGCTCAGGGAACTGGTCGTATGTATTTTCTACACGCTGACTTTACAAGACCATTCTAAAATTTCAGTAAACTTCTTGACTCAGTTAAACCAATATACTTTTTATAACCACGATTAGGCCTGCAGCCAAGACTTGCACAGTTGCATTTGATCTGTTTCTGAATTAATAGTTTTGAGTTGATTGTGAAGGTTTTGAATAGACCTTAATTTTTCACGTCCAAAAAAGCAGTAATATTGAAGGAGATATTCCAAAATATTCCTGCCTTCTTTATATAATGTACCAAAATAAACACAGTGAAGCCAAATTATCTCATTTTTTTTAGAGGTCATTTTGAAGTTCAGTACAGCTCTTTTTGTTCATGATTTGGTTACTTACAAAAGATTAAGAAATCTAATTCTGCTGTTAAATTAGCTGAAAATATTGTCGGGAGTTAATGAGACTGACCATAAAGCTACCTCGCGGTGTCTGATTTCACCTACTGGTAATGAAGGCTGAATTTTCCCAGTGCCAATGGCCAAGATGGCTCTCGAGACGGCAGTTTCGGGACTTCCAGAAAATTGCTTATTGCCCATGAAGCGGAGTAGAGCCCTGCTGGGGTTACGTAGGTGGTAACAGTGGAAGGCGAAGGTTCCCAAGCTCTTTTGAACCAGTGAATTTGAATCCCAGTAATAATCCATTAAATAGGCTATTTGTGTGCTGCAGGCTCTGGTTTTGTTGGGCTGTGCAGGACCCGGGGGGTGGGTAGGGGCCATCTGTGGGCAGAGGTTTGGGCACAGGGAAGTAAAACATTAGTGATAAAGGCGACCAAATGCAATGGTTGGGAAGCCTTGCACATGGCGCTGAAGGTTTCGCAGAAGAAAATCCGAGGATACGGATTTTGTTGAGCAGTTGGAAATTCTCTCTCTCTCTGTTAAAGTGCCTCCTTCATTGCAAGCCCGGTTGCTGTTCGACTAACCTTGCTTTTCAGCGTGTTTTGCCCTTCCAACTTCTCCTGTTTGCCTGGGGAAAAACTGATTCTTCTTGGGTTTTGCTGTCATAACATCTGATGTTTTCTTTCCAGTTGCCGGATTCATTATAAGGATATGTACAATTTGTTACGTGTAATTGCTCCACCCCTGGGCTTAGGAAAGAAGTGCCCTCATAGGGTGGCATACAAGGTTTGGAACTTCAGAGACTCCCTCCAGCATTTTCAGTTCTGGTTTTGTTTCTTTTTTACCCCCTTCCAAGTGCAAATGCAAACAGTACAGAAAAGAAACTGTAACGTAACTAACCCCTTGCCTGAAAAAAGGAATGATTGACTGACTGCCTCCTTTTTCCTCCATGCATCTCTTCCCTGTCTACTCCCACACCCCAGCTGGCTGGAGACAGGCAGCTTTATGAGACAGTGAACCCTCCAGCTTCCATCCTGCCAGGTCGAGGTGGGAAGTGTTGGCGAAAAGCAGCACAGCATCCGAGCGTTTTCTCCCTATATAGCCACACTGGAGAGAAACATCAACCTGAGATTTCTAGGGAGCAGCAAGTCCATTTTGTTTGGGCTTCTTAGCATTGTTGCTCCGGTTGAATGAGCAATGTTTGAACCCTTCCCTTCCCTGAGTTGAAAAGGCATTTAATCTGGGCACTGGTTAATTGGGCAGCAGAATGGGATGGTTACCTAGGCTGGGGAGAGATGAAGAAGGGTTGGACTAGATGACCTCTAAAGGTCCCTTCCAGCCCAAATGATCCTATGAGCTTTCCCCAGTGCAACAGCAACAGACAGAGATTGTCTTGGGAGCAAAATTATGTCTCTCAGATTGCAAACTATGACAGATATCCAGTGAAACCTCCTGCCCCATGGCACAGGAAAAGTATGCTGTGCTTGGGAGCTGAGGTGGGGAATTAAAGACGAATCTTGCCCAGAAATCAGCACAGGATGACACTGGACTTCAGTGGGGTCCCAGTTACGGGCAGGGATTTTCTTGCAGTCAGTGCATGGAGACCGCAGCCAGCGCGGAGTTTGCTTTTCTCTTTCACCCCAGCCCAGATGTTTCACACACCTGACTGGGGGTTAAGCGTTAACAAGCATTGCAGGGAAGGCATGGGCATGGGACCCTGTACCTCCAGCCAGGGAGCAGGGGCGAAGAGAGAAGCCAAGGGGAAACCATTGGCTGTAATTGCAATTTGTGTCTCAGCAGCCTTTAAATTAGCTCTGGGCCCCGTGTCGGGGCAGTGGGCTGGTGCGCGGGTGCCTGCTTCTGTAGCTGTCCTGCTTCAGAAAGGGGCTTCATGTGGGTGCTTAGGTCTTGGTTTCCCTCCTAGCATAGTGGAGATGGTAATACTGTCCTGCTTTTCCAGGGGTTAAGCATTAATTAAGAGTGTGCTGCAATCTACTTAGGTCTCCTCAGAAGACAGGCAGCAGAGATTTGCACAATATAACGAGCAGGCAGCTCACTGGGAAAACGAAATGAGATTGTCATAGTCGTGCTCCCAGTTTCAGCAGTCAGAAAAAGGCAAAGCAGGAGAATTCCTTGCTGTTTCTGCATCCCTTGCTTTTCAGGGCATGATTTTATTTACCACCACCGTGTGCTGAAGGCAGATGCCATCAGCAACGGGCTGGTCGAAGGGCCTGTTCCCAAATCTCTGCAACTCCCAGTTCCCTCTAACACGCAGGACAGTCGGTTGCCCTCGGTGGTGGAGACAACCAGTTGACGTTGGCTTGACAAAAGAAAGACCCCATCAAATGTGAAGGAGAAACAGGTCCCCTTTCCACCGCCTTCCTGCAAATCGAGCTCTGGGCTCTGGTTTTGTGAAACCTGAATTCAGGCTGGAGGAGAAATTGAGGCTGGCTGAGGTTTTGCGGAGTTGCTCCCTTGGCTTGGAGTCAGAGCAGTCACGGTCTGTCCTTGGAGCAAACACACCAGGAATGGCTTTTTGCTTCTCTTGTAGCCCATAGCCTAGCCTGAAAACCAAACTCTTTATTCACTGAAGGAAAGTTGAATATTTTCTCTAAGCCCTCTCTCTCCCTGTCCCATAACTCTGCCTACCAGCTCTCCCTGGCATGGTGAATACAGCCTCTCGATTGACTGGTTTGGGGGGCGAGAAGGGGAAGCATCCCTCCAGCCCCGCAAAGAGCCAGCCAAACCCGAGCCCTCCCCACACCCTCTCCACCCCGAGCGGAGACATCAATCATTCCCCCCAGGGACCCCCGTGCCGAGGCGCAGCTCTGGCCACGGGACGTCCCTGCAGTGAGAAGGAGACGTTGGGCATTGAAACACAGCAATGGAAGCGGAGAAACCTTTCTATTTATCCACCTCTTTGTTTTGGTTTTGTTTTCCTGAGAAATCTGATTAACCGGATCTCTGTTTTCTTGTCTGCTTTCCCTTTTCTCTCCTCCTTTTCATTTGCTCCATTGTGTTGCCTTTTTCCCCATCCTCTCCCTTATTTTTTTTTTTCCCCCTCTCCCCCAACCTGGTCTGATTTGATTTCTGTGTCCTCTTGCTTTTGCCTCCCTCCCTTTGACTCCAAGCGGGCGCATCAGTTACACAGACATGTATGAGATGCTGAGACACATGTCCCCACCTCTAGGCCTTGGAAAGAAATGCCCTGCTCGCGTTGCCTATAAGGTAGACCACCCCCCTAGAAACTCCTGCCAAACCACCAGCTTTTTGTGCCGTGGCTGAAGTGGGTGCCGGTTTTCTGTGGCATTAGTATTGTTCTCCTGGACTTTTCTGGTGCTTTCTCTGCTTTCCAAGCAGACGTGATTTTGGATCTTCTGCTTTTTTTTTTTTGTAACTTCTTTTTGGTCTTTGAAGCTATGGCACATCAGTTTGTCTTCCTAAGTATGTCTCCGCTATCTCTATCAGTGTTTCTATCTCTCCTCTCTCATTCTGCTTCCATTTAGGCTGATTTGGGGAGGGAGGGTGCTAATGAGCAAATTACCCCACCAATATAATCCTCATTTATCTTCCTACAGCTCTTTGGCTATCCATTCTCACTAGCCCTTCAGTAGTCTGTTGTTTTTTCCCCCTCTTAATTAGACTGGAGTAATTAGAGTAGGCAGTACTGTAGGAGTTAGCAAGCTATTAAACAGAGACAACACCAGAAGGGCTCCTTAAATACCCTCATGAAAGAAATTATTTTAAATAGAAAACATTTAAGACGGTAAGATGAAGAAATCACTCAAACTTATTGTTTATTCTGAAAAACTTTTTAATTGAACCACAAAAATGTATTCTATCCAAAAGGCTGCTAGCTGCTGCCTTTCAGACACTGCCTGGATGAAGGCAGTGGAAACTCGGACCCAGAGCCGAAATTACGGAGCGGACCCAGACCTGGCCATTAAAGCCACGCTGCTCTCCCACCAGCTTGCGTTGCGCTTGGAAATTGGCACCTGCAGGGGTGATTCCTTGGAAGCTTTTAACATTGAACCTCACAGCTTTAGCGGGAGAGGTTTGTCATAAGCATTTAGCACTGGTGTAATTGAGCATCCTTCAAACTCAATGGGGTTTTTTTGATGTTGGTATCATTTCAGCCACCACCAAGCCTAATTACTGCACCCCACTGTGCTTGGTGCAATGGATCCACATCACAACAGCCCCCCCCAAACAGTGCTTGTTTTTTCACTGAGGCCATATGAAAGCAAGGTTTTGCAACGAGACTCAAGCTTAAACCCAAACCTGGACCTGCCTTTCAGTAGGGCGCTTAGCAGCAAGAAGAGGTTCAGGTACAGCTTCCTACAAGATCCTTCCTCAGTGTGTTAGGATTTAAAATGAAAAGAAAATTAAACATAACCTCAAAACTAGCCAGTTAGATATCTTTTCTGTATTTCTTTTGATTTGTTTCTGGCCGCTTTGGTAGCTGCTTTAAAAGAGCCATCTCTATTACCAGCAATTCATACCCACCACACCATGACTAAGCTTGAGAAACCCCGCCACGTCAAAACGCCAGCTCTCAGCTATTGCAGAGAGATAAACATCTGCATCGAGGTACCAGTTATACACAGAAACCCAGTGATTTTAAAGTAAGAAATGTCTCCTTTTAGAGCCTGTGAGTTTCCATTGGCTTGAAACGGAGCTGTGTCCAGCTGACAGCCCGGCAGTGGGTGTTCGCAGCTGGGCAGCTGCATCCACATCTGCCAGAAGCATAAAGCTCTCCCTTACACACCCCCCCTCCCAAATTTTGTACAGTTAAAAAAGGAAGAAAATCAAAGGGGATAAAAAGCTCATGTGTTAAAATAGGCATTTTAGACAAGCCTTTTGGCTGATTTTCATAGTGTGGCGTCTCTGTGCCTCTCTGTTGATTGTTCTCAACCGTTGCAGCAGGCTTTCCCTGGGCAGAGGCACTGCAGATGTGCCTTCCCTAGTGTGTCTTCTCCCTGCAAGTTAGCTGGTGTCTCGATTAATTTGGCTGTCTTTACAGAACTTAAGTACATGTGAATGGTTTCTTTTTAAAATACAGGCTTGATTTTTTTAAAGATGTCTAATTTTTACCTATCTACTAAGAAACTTCTAAAAGGTGTCTGTGTATGACTGAACCATAAGTAGAGATGCGTTCAAGTCAAACAGCTCAAATCTAGACTGAACATCAGATTTCTCTGAGCTTGGAGGGGAACAGATTCATTTTGCACTTTATCAAAGAGCCCCGAACTACAGAAATACGGACTTAAGACCAGATCTGAATTTTTCCCATGGTGTAAGGCTGCAGCTTGGGCTGACCCCAACTACCAGCTATGGCTGATGATAAAAACTAAACCCTCATGGGGAGGCAGTACCGGTTTTTGCTCCCTCCCTTCCTCCTCCACTTCTATGTGCAGCACGGAGACAGATTGGTGCTGAGCATCTTCCTCCGAGGACAGCTGTGTGTGGGTCGTGGCATCCCCCTGCCGTACACCTGCTGGGGTGTCTCTCTTGCTGTCCTCCCACAGTTGATGGGAGCCTTGGGAAGGGCAGTGCAGCCCACCCAGCCACGCTCAGCCCCCCGCAGAGCCAGCGTGCGGAGGGACAACGACCCCCTCGTCCCGCAGCCATAGCTCAGTCAGTACCGACAGCAGCCAGGGCTTTGTCTCTGCGCTATTTTTGCTCTCTCCCTCTGAACCAAATGATTTTTCAAAAACCTTACTGTTCTGTCCAGCAAAAGCTCTTTTGCCCCACGTGTCCGCCCTTTTTCTTTCCATAGGTATTTT